CAGTGAACTGTGACTCAAGTTCGTCCAATTCACCTTCTCTGGAATTAGGAATTAGATTATCCCAGAGCACCTGTAGGTGATTTAAAAAAAATGTAACAAATGCAATATTGCCAACTTCCAAAATGAGATTGGATTTAGGACCCTTCTGGCCCAAGGTTTGTTGGGAGTACCAGGAAACAAGGGTGTGACAGTGACACTGATGCAATGTGACAGGGAGACCATGGAGTCTCACTCAGGAGCAAACCAGGCCTCCCTTTGTCCGGGCTGGAAGGCTGCCCTCTTCCCAGCTCACTTTCCTTCTCCCTGGGTGTTGGCTGGAGGTAGGGTTGTGTGTGGCATGTGGAGGGTCAAGGGTACAACAACGATGCTACCTAAATCAATAAACAACCAAAAGCACCAGAAAATCAAACTTCCTGGAACTCCGACAACCAAGGAATTAAAGAAAAAATCAGCCAGAACAACCAGACCAGTAAGGCAGCAGACAGCTCAGGCTGACTCAGAAAAAAACATGGTGAGGCGGTGGACTGGACAGGCAGGGCAGTCTGAAGGTGAAACTGAGACTCAGAGCTGACTGTGGGCTACAGCAGTTGCCACAGTGGTAGAAACTCCCAGTCTCACAGGAGAGTCCTTGGAAAGTGCACCAGGAACCAGCAGGCAAGCTGCACTGTTCCCTCTCTGGCCCCTCACCCACAGGCAGCACTGCAGCACAGCAAGGGGGGTTGCCCTACTCTGGTGAATACCTAAGGCCCTCCCCCCTTACAACCTATCAGGTGCACCAAGACAAAGAAATATGGCCCAAATGAAAGAACAGAGCAAAACCTCAGAAGGAGAGCTAAGCAATGAGGAGGTAGCCAACCTATCTGATGGAGAGTTTAAAGCCCTGGTAATCAAAATGCTCACAGAACTGATTGAGCTTGGTTGAAAAATAAAAGAACAAATGAAGGATACCCAAAGTGAAATAAAGCAAAATGTTCAGGGAACCAGCAGTGACAGGAAGGAAATCAGGAGTCAAAGCAATGATTTGGAACAAAAGGCAAAAATAAACATCCAACTGGAACAGAATGAAGAAACAAGAATTCAAAAAAGTGAAGAGAGTCTTACAAACCTCTGGGACAACCTGAAACATTCCAATATCTGAATGATAGGGGTGCCAGAAGGAGAAGAACAACAGCAAGAAATTGAAAACTTATTTGAACAAATAATGAAGGAGAACTTCCCCAATCTGGCGAAGGAAATAGACTTTCAGGAAGTCCAGGAAGCCCAGAGAGTCCCAAAGAAGTTGGACCCAAAGAGGAACACAGCAAGGCACATCATCATTAAGCTACCCAAGATTAAATATAAACAGAGAATCCTGAAAGAAGCAAAAGGAAAGGAGAGAGTTACCTACAAAGGAGTTCCCATAAGGCTATCATCTGATTGCTCAAAAGAAACCTTGCAGGCAAGAAGGGGCTGGAAAGAAGTATTTGAAGTCATGAAAGGTAAGGACCTACATCCAAGACTGCTCTATCCAGCAAAGCTTTCATTTAGAATGGAAGGGCAGATAAAGTGCTTCCCAGATAAGGTCAAGTTAAAGGAGTTCATCATCACCAAGCCCCTATTATATGAAATGTTGAAGGGACTTATCTAAGAAAAAGGAGATAAAAAATATGAACAGTAAAATGACAACAAACTCACAACTATCAACAAATGAACCTAAAAGAAAAGAAAAACAACAAAAATAAAAACTAAGCAAACAACCAGAACAGAAACAAAATCAGAAAAATGGACATCCACATGGAGGGATTTCATTGGGGAGGGGGAGCGAGGAAGGGATGAAGGGGGGAAGGTGCAGGGAATAAGAAGCATAATTAGTAGGCATAAAATAGACAGGGAGAAATAAAAATGGTAGGAAACAGAGGACTCAAAGAACTTACACGTACAACCCATGGACTTGAACTAAGGGGGTGGAATGCTGGAGGGTTGGGGGGGGCAGGACAAAGGGGTCTAAAGGGGCAAAAATTGGGGAAACTAATAGCATAATCAATAAAAAAATACTTTAAAAATGCTCACAATAGGCCTGTGAGGTGGTTCTATCTTAGTTGCACACACGTGAGAATTGAGGCTCCGTAATGTGAGCTGAAAGTCCACCTTCTGCTTTCTGGAGATGATTGTGGGGACAAGAGGGAAGAGCAAGAGGGGGCCCCTGCCTACCGCCTGGGGGCCTGGCGGTAGGCAGGTTCTTAGTGGGGGCACATCTCAGGGCAACAGGAGGTTCTGTCCCTCCTTGTTGGGTCAGTGTGTGCCCACTGTGCCCTTTTCAGGGGGCTCTGCTTGAAGACATCTGCTCCCCAGCATCCTGCCCCCCACCCAGTGCCCCAGCATGCCTCATGCCCCAAGGTCCACAGGTGGAGTTTGCCTCATGCTGCAGACATGGAAGCAGAGTAAAGCCTTTGCCCAAAGCCACACAGCCTGGAGGGACAGAGCCATGGTCCACTCCAGGATCCTCCCATTCTGTGCTCATGTCATCAGAGCTGTGGCTCGTGTACTTGGATCTGCAATGGGGCCTCAGGGGCTGCCCAAGTATATGAGCAGGAGGCCATGGGTCTGGGAGCCCAGGCCTTCCGGTCCTGCTCCAGCCAAAACAACCTAGAGCAGGGTCTCTCTCGCTGGGCATTGTTAATGTCAGGGCTGGATCATTTCGTGTTGTGGAGCCACCATTTCAGGGGGATGTTCAGGTGGAGTGCTGGGCACAGACCAGGTGTACAGAGTGTACAGGGTGTACAGGGTCTTGGGGCTGCTATATAGAGGACGACAGACTGGACACCTTACAACAGGAATTCTGTCAGTTCATAAGGCCCCAAGTCCAAAATCAAGGTGAGGTCCTTACAGCACTGGCTCCTTCTGGAGGCTCTGGTAGCAAAATCCTGTGCCTCTTCCAGCTTCTGATGTTGCCCACAGTCCTTGAGGTTCCTGGGCTTGTGGTACTATCACTCCTGTCTCTGCCTCTGTTGTCAGAACGGCCTTCTCCCTGTGTCTGTGTCCTCTCCTAAGGACACGGTCATTGCATTTAAGCTCCCCTTCCAGTGACCCCACCTTAACCTACAACAACTACAATGACCCTGTTTCCAAATACGGTCACATTTTGAAGTTCTGGCTGGACTAGAATTTGGGGGACACTAACCACTGGCAGACGCCTCAGTGGCTGCGGTTGCTTGTGGCATTATATACCCCATCCTTCCCTTCCAGCCTTGCCACTCTTTATAAATGTAGGTGATGAGGGGCTTTTTCTGTTTTCCAGTGGTGTCAACAAGGACATGGGGTGAGTTGGGAATTACCTTTGAAAATCTACAGTTTTGCAGAATGGGTGTCTGGTGTGAAAATGCTTCCCTGAGATTTCATCTCCCCACCCTGTGAGGAAGCCTGGGGGTTTGACTGGCCTTGCCACTCTCCCAGGGTAAGGGCCCTGAGCTGCCTCTGCTCTCACCCCAGGTGGCCACGTTCCAGGGCACAGGCCAGCCTTGATTGCCCCACTCTGTCTTCCTGCGGCAGACCTGCCTTTCCCACTTGTCCATACCCGTGGCTTCCTGAGTGGCTGGGGGAAGAGGTGTAAAGTCCTTATTCAGTTTAGTCACCTCTGGAGTCCTGGGGTAGCTGCTGAAACCACTGAGATCTGGAACATTCCATCCAGAAGTGTGGCCATTCCTCATTGCTGGGTGGCTGGTCCTCATGCCAGTTCTTGATGCTCCACTCTGTTTTCATCACTCGATTGCTGTATATGCATCCACCTTTCTCTGCAACCCAGGTTCCAGGCGTATGACCTGCTCTTCTCCCTCAATAAATGCCAGCCCCCTGTGCTCTGTCCTGGGTTCCCTGGAGGATGGGGCTGCCTGGTTTAAAGATGGCTTTTACCTTCCAGGCCAGCTTCCAGAGCTCTCATGGGGCATGTAGTACCCAGCCAGATCCAGCTGTTCAGTGTTGCTGACCACCCACCTCCCCCTCACAGCCGAGTGCCCGGCCCACTTCTCTCAGGCCCAGACTGCTGCCGGAGGTGACTGTCCTTTTCCAGGTCTGGCAGCTGGGCCCGTCGAGTGCCTATTCCATGATATCCTCACACAGTCCTGTGACGTAGGACTTTTCATGAAATTCCTTTTATAGATGGGGAAACTAAGGCCTCGAGAACTTTAAGCACTTCCTCCAGGTGGTAGAATAGGCTTTCAACCCAGGTGTGAACTCCCACCACCTCATCCTCCCGGCTTGCTTTGACAGTTACTCTCTGTCAAAGTTGATTCAAAGTTGAATCAACTTTGATTAAACTTGGAACAAAGTTTACTTTCTACCACTGTGAAACATCATAAGTGAACTTGCTGGAATTAAAAGGGGAAAAAATGGCTTTTGCTCTTGACAGCTAGGCTGGCAGCACAGGTGGCAGCATACAACACTCGGGCCACCCTGTCCTCCCTGCGTGTGTCCCAGAACTGAGGGTGAGGGAACTCCCCACATGGGACGGGGCCTGGGATGTTGGCTGCACGAAGGCCTCCCCTGGTCCTCCTATGGCCTTGCAGAAGCCCCTCTTGCATCTGGCTTCTAATGAAAATGTCCTTCATTGTTGTCAGTGGGGGGCTGGTGGTGGGACTCCCATGGCCAGATCAAGTAATCTAGTTCTGATCTTGACTGCCTGTGGCTGGCTGAGGCTGGGCAGGGCCTGTCTTGCCTGGTGCAGAGCTGAATGGGAAAAAACCCTTGCCCACCCTCAGCAGATGGCAGCCAACAATGACCCCAGCTGAATGCTGGAACCCAAATGCCCAAGACCGGGCTGGACTGCCTGAGTCGACAGCCTGGGAGAACCACAGATTTTACTGCTCTTCCCATGGGGCAGGCAGGGCGGAGTAAGGCTGAGACTGAGAAGCAGAGTCTTGGAAACAAGTTGAGGAGGGAACAAAGTCTGTTGGGCAGGCAACAGGGCTGGAAACAGTAGTTATGAATGGACCATGAAAATGAGGGTGGAGGTAGGGGACAATGCTTGCAAAGTAACAGGGTGACAGAGACAGGAGTGCCTCCTGGGCCCTAGCTCTTGCTGGCTATTCACAAGGATAACCTTGTGAAACCAGGACAATTCAGGGGTTAGAACATTCTGTATTCTCTCTGTATTTAGAGATCGACTCCACCAATTCCACAAAGGCACTTTTTAGAACATTTATGTGCCTTTGTGGTTTGGGTAAAGAAAAAACAGATGTCAAATGTCAATCAAAAGTTCATTTGGTATATATGTAGTGTGTTAATTTAAGTATACAAAATAGTAAGTATCCAGGAACCCAGAAAATCAAGCTAAATTCTCTTTTAAGACCTTTCCACCTTGAAATTCTCCAAATATGTTTTACTTAAATTTTATAGTTTTTAAAAAGACCTTGTATGATGGCAATAACAGATGCACATTAAAGGGAAAATGCAAAAAATGGTCAAAGGTTAATAGGCTCACAGTTCCATGATAGAACAAAAGCATTGTCTCCATGGGCTTTCCTTCAAGGCGCTTTCAGAGGGCTGGGGTCACCTGAGTTGTCATCATGCCACATGTACAATTTTGTGCTGGTATCTTTTTGCTCTAAATGCATGAAAATGTTCTGACCAAATTCTAACAGAGGGCTAGGTGACAGACCAAAAGCACCTGCTAATGGAAACAGGAGGGAAACGGGACCATCAGGCCTGGGCATGTTGACAGTCAAACCATCTCGCTAATCTCTTAAGACCCAGTCCCAGGGTCATCTACAGTTGGCCCAGAGGAGACACCAGGACCTCTCTGGCTGTCCCTAACCCAAGGGGGTCCCCCAAGGCCCTGGGACTTCCTCCTGAAGGTCTGGCTGGGCATTCTGCCTCGAAGCTCAGAGTGTTACATGTGGCTTTTTCCCAGGCCCAGATCCAGCTGTATCTTCAGGGGCCTGCGCCTTCTGACTGCTAGGACACTTGCTGGCAGGCAACTGGGGCTGAGCTATCCCCTTCCGAAAAGCCCTGAGCTGCTGGAGAAGCTGACTCTTCCCAGTGCAGTCCCTGTAACACAAGAGAAGCAACCTCAGTCAATGTCAAGTGGAGGCCAAACCTCCCAGGGCTTCGCCACTGAAACAGGCACACATGAAAGCCAGAGTGCTTCCAGAAGCATTTCCCCCAGTTCTCCAGATGTGCTCAAGTAACCGTGGCAGGCCCCCACCCTCGCTGAGTCACAACGCATGTCAACATGTGAAAGCATTTTGGGGATAAAACCTGTGTGACCTTTCTCAACCCCAATTTTTCTTCCCTCTTTTTTCCTATAATGCCTGATCATGGACCACAGTAGGGGAAAAGTTGCAACAGACTCTGACATTCTTGAAAGGTAGGGTCTGAAGGGTTTTCAATTGCAAAAATGATGGACACTGCCACAGCATGTGATTGTTAACTCGCCCCTGACCACATCGTGGCCTCCCCACAAAGGAGACTTGAGTGTTCTCTGAATTTGACATTTCATATCCTGATTCACCCAAACCTGTCATTTCTGGCTAACAACCATTACTTTACTCCATCCCTACTACACTTTCTCTTCACTTCCATTGCCATCACCAACTGGGAGCAAAATCAATCAGCAGAGGCATTTTTCAGAAAGAAAATATACTAATCCCTTCTCAAAAGTAGGCTAAGGTGTCCTTGGTGATGTACAGGGACGACAGGCAGGCTGAGACAATGCTGGGCCCCAGGTGGGCTCCCAAGACTACGCTCCTCACCTCTAAGACCCACCCCCTGCCCTCAGGTACTGGCTCTTTAGGTGCAACACGTAGAGCTAAAAGCACAAACGTTAAATGTGCCAGACCAAGGGCTTGTGCAGAGAGCAGACAGGGAGCAGCCCCAGGCAGCAGGAACCCGTGGTGGTTACCGTAGCCCTGCTGGGCCCTGCCGGTCTCTCCCAGCAACGGTCTCCTCTTGCCCTGCCTCCTCGCTGTCAGAGGAGCTGGAGCTGGAGCTGGAGCTGGGGCTGGGACTAGGGCAGAGGAAACGAGGGTTCACTGGACATGTCCCAGTCCACCCCAGCCAAGCTGGGCTCCCACCAGGGATTTGGAATGCCCAGGCCTCCCTGGTGACCCAAGGCAGGAGGGTGGCCAGGCCAGCCAAAACCCAGCCAGTCCAAACCAAAGGGCCACTGTGCTTCCTGCCAGGTGGTGGAGGAAAGCACTCCAGGACAATGTACACAACCTAGACTGTTTGCTTAGACCTCCGCCCAAGAAGGATTGCCACCTGCCTCAGCTTCCTCCCTCTCTGCTGGGAGAGTCTGTTGATGGGACCAAGTGGGACCCGGCTAAGAGCACTTCTCAACTGAGCAGTGTTCCCAGGACTTGCCCACGCCCAAGTCTCCCCATCTGCGGAAGTCCCTGTTCCTCTTTAGGCCAATGTGACATGTGCAAAGCAGTGGGTTGGCTGCAGGGCAGTTATCACTCCCCATACCTTTCCAACAGCCCCTGGTCTGATGGCTCAGTGGGCCTCAGGTCAATGAAGACGGTGGGAGGCTCTGCTGGGCTCCTTAGCCTAGGTCGCTGACTCAGTCCCGCCTGGAAGCCCGGCTGGGTCAAAGCACATCTGAGGTGGGAAGAGCAGGAGGGCTGGCTGAGTCACTTCTCAGAGACTACGCATGACCTGTGTTGAGCTCGTGGCTGCCGCTGACTGAGTGCCCACTGTGTGGGGGGCACTGAGGTGGGCCTATCAATGAATTTGCTCTTTTATTCTTCAGAACCCTTAAGATTTAGGCCAGTGCCATCCAACAGAACTTTCTGTGATGATTAAATTATTCCTTATCTACACTTTCCATCCCAGTAGCCACTTGCCACAATTTAGATTTAAGATAACTAAAATTAAATTAATACAATAAAATGAAAAATTCAGTTCCCCGGTTGCACTGGCCATATTTCAAAGGTTCAGTAACCACACATGGCCACTGGCTATGAATGAACAATGCAGGTCTAGACATTTCCGTTGGACACTTCAGGTTGCCAGGGACAGAAGCCACTCCAACTAACTGAAGTGAAAAGGGAATCATTGGCTCTCAGATTCCTAAAAAAAGTGGAATCACCAAAGTGTGGGAAGGGATACAGCTGGGCCCTGTCCCCACCTCTGCTCCACTCCCCTGCTGCCCCCTCCAGCTTCAGCGTTTCTCACCACAGATGGCCTTTCTCCACCCTCCCACAATTCCCAGGGAAAGGCTGTGATTGGCCTGCCTGGGGTCAGATGCCCAGGGCTGGCCCAATTAACAGTGGCCAGAAGACCAGGGCCATGTTCCCTGGGATGGTAAAGAGAGGGTTCCCATGTGTGGGGGAAAGAGCAGGTGTTTGGGGGCTTGAGTACCAGTTCTGCCACATATGGCCTGGGTAAGTCAACCTCTCTGAGCCTCAGTTTTCCCATTTATGAGATGGAGATACTAATAGTACCTACCTGGTCAGATTCTTGAGATGACATGAGAAATATACATCAAGTGCTCCACCCACAATAGGCTGCAAGGCCAGGGGCCAGTTCTAGAGAGGACAGGGTCATGGCTGGGAAGAAGTCCCACCTGCTTCTGGGCTCCAGCTTCTCGGTGTCCTCGAGCATGTCAGCAGGCACCTTCCAGGCTCTGGACTTTGTGGCACACAGGAGTGTGAGCTGTTCCATGAGCCTGTCCTGGGCGCTGGGCTCAGCATGATCTGAAGGAAAAGCAAGGGAGGTTGCCTAGTAGGGACTTGGTCACTGATTTACAGTGGTCTGACCCTCATGTGAATGAACCTCCAGCTTGTGCATGGATAAGTGAGGGGACCAGGAGGCCCTGCTCTACTCCTTTGCTCCCCTATCTCTGCTCACCAGGGCTTGGGGAGCAGTATCATTGGGAGCAGGGAGTTGTATCTGAGCCCCTAACAGGGGTGATTTTTTAAAAAAATGATTTGAAAGAGAGAGGAAGGGAGAGAAAGAAACATTAATTTGTTGTTCCACTTATTTATACATTCAGTGGTTGACTCCTGTATGTGCCCTAACCTGGGATCGAACCCACAACCTTGGCATATCTGGACAATGCTCCAACCAACTGAGCAACCCCGCTGGGGTAGGGGTGACTTCTTCTTAACACTTTATCCCACTTCCTCATTCCCTCGTCCCACTTGTCAAAGGGGAACCATAATTAACATTTCTTTGTATTCACTTTTTTAAAAATAGCAATGGGATCATGTCCTACAGATTTTTTCACTGTTTATATTATATCTTTCTGCATTAGCGTATACAGATTCCCCCAGTGAGCTTGCAGTGTTCTGTACTTTAACTGATTTAACTAGATTCCTATTGAATACTGATACTAAATATGTGTCACTTTCCATTTTTCACAATTGTAAACACTGCAGCAGATATGAACATCCTTGAATACATATCTTTACCTGCCTGGGGGAGCACATATTAGGATAGACTTTAGAAGTAGAATAGCTTGATCAAAGGCCCATATGCCTTTAAAATAGAAAACACATTCTGCCATGTTGCCCTCCAAAAAGGGTTACAAATTACACTCCCACCCTTACCCCACATCAGGCCCTGGGCAGGAAGTTCAGTTGATTAGAGCATCATCCCAACACATCAATGTTGTGGGTTCAATCCCCAGTCAGGGTACATATAAGACTCAGGCCCTGACTGGGGATTGAACCCAGTCAGGGTTCAATCAGCACATACAAAACTAACGGCCTTGGCTGGTGTGGCTCAGTGGATTGAGTGCTGGTCTGAGAACCAAAAGGTTGCTGATTCGATTCCCAATCAGGGCACATGACCGGGTTGTGGCCCAGATTCCCAGTTGGGGGCGTGCAAGAGAGATCAATGAGAGATCAATGTATCTCTCGCACATCAATGTTTTTCTCCCTCTTTTTCTCCCTCCCTTCCCCTTTCTAAAGATAAATGAAATATTATTTAAAATTAAAAAAAGACCCGACCAATTAATGCATCAAGAAGCGGAACAACAAATTGATGTTTCACTCTCTCCGTAAAATCAATTAAAAAATAAAATATGGCGAGGGCTGAGCAGCAGAGAGGACACAGTGGGCCGCAGAGCTGACTGTGCCCAGCCCGTGGACCTGTTTTATTGAGAGGTCCTGGAAGGAGCTGCTTTTGGGGATGCACTTGGACCCTGGTGTTTAAGGTCAGACCTCGGCCCTGGAGGCGACCAGCTGCCCACCACACGGTTCCAGATGTGAGATCTCCCTGGTCATCTTCTCGTCCAGCCAGACTCTGAAGGATGTGATCCAAATCCAGCTCTTCAATTTGCTGAAATGATGAAAGTGGTGACTGTGAGGCTGTTGGGAGATGTCCGGGGGCAGGAATCAGGGTTTGGAGGCATGCCCACGTTTGCAGGTTGGGCTTGCTCACTACCCTGTCAGGGCTGCAGAATGAACCACCTGGGCTCTGCACCTCTTTCCTGTGCCTTTTTGGGCAATACGTACTTCTGTTCTAGGCACAAAGAAATATTTGACCTGGAGGAAACCCAGTGTCTTTTTATTCTTCTAATCCTCACCAAAGATATGTTTATTGATTTAGAGAGAGAAGATGGGAGAGAGAAGAAAAAGAGAGGAAGGGAGAGAAAAATCAACGTGAGAAGCATTGATCAGCTCCTTCCTTGCAACCACCCCAACCACAGGTTGAACCTACAACATAGGTATGTGTCCTGACCAGGGATCGAACCCACAACCTTTTGGTGTACAGGACAATGCTCCAGCCAGCTGAGCCAACCAGCCAGGGCCAGTGTCTTTGTAAAACATTATAGGTTCATACAGGTTTAAAATGTTGAGAGGGCCCTGGCTGGCGTAGCTCAGTGGATTGAGCTCGGGCTGCGAACTAAAGTGTCGCAGGTTCGATTCCCAGTCAGGGTACATGCCTGGGTTGCAAGCCATGATCTCCAGCAACCACACATTGATGTTTCTCTTTCTCCCTCCCTTCCCTCTCTAAAAAAATAAATAAATAAAATCTTTTTTTAAATGTTGAGAGGGTAAAAAGTTTTGCTCTATTAACAGATTGCTCTAGGCAGGTGCTGAAAATGGGAGGACTTGCAAAAGAATGCTATCGGGGCAGAGTGGGTGTCATCAAAGGAAGGAAATTCATCAGGAGTTAATGTTTCTTATATATGACCTTGCAGCTCCTTGCAGCCCTGTAGGTCAGTCAATATAAAGGTGTTTAGGGGCAAACAGAAAGAATGGAATTAATGAGAATGAAATTGGTGTAAATTACCTCCATGAACACTTTGATACCAGTTTTCTCTAAATTAAGAAAATCCAGAAATGGTAAATAAGGCAAAAAAGAGAATTGCATGACCTTTCAATGTCATGTTGGAGCTTTTATAAGCTCATCTTTCTGCGGGGGGTTGGTTTGCACAACTGATCAGGGCCCACTTGTTTTACAACTTTGGAAAATGGAGAAGGTGCAATGGTTTTCTTCTGTCTAGTAAAGAAGATACCCCCATAGGCCAATTTTGCACTTAATGTAGCTATTTTATCAGCATTCATTTCTTTTCCCCAGTATTTTACAAAATCCTAGTTTCTCATAATATCGATGAACTGGTTTTATCATCCTGCTGGTTCCCTCATTCACGAGCTAAATCCACCATTAACAGGTATTCATTATTTGTATGAGAATGGGAGCTTTAATGTTTTGAGAATTATGTTTTGACAGAGTCTGTTCTCTATCTTATATGCAGTTGTGTGTCTTTATAAACATGCTTAGGATTAGCACTTTTTTTTAAGAAGGCTGGAGTCTCCATACTCTTCCTTGCTCTTGTTAACTCTATCTGAGGATGGACAGTTTGTCTGCCAGGACTGCACACCCCAGAGGCAGGTATCACAGCCTGCCTGCCAGTGGACATGGGACCATGGGCTTAAGGTCACTGCTATGGAGTAAATGTAGGTGACCCTCCCAAATTCACATGCTGGGATCCTAATCCCCAATGTGATGGGGTTTAGAGGTGGTGCCTGTAGGAGGTGATTAGGTCATGAGAGGATGGCCTCATGAATGGAACTCATGTCCTCATAAAAGAGGCCCCACAGAGTTCCCAACCCCTTCCACCAAGTGAGACAAAGTGAAAAGAGGGAAGGCTTCTCACCAGACATGGAATGTGCCAATGTCTTGATCTTGGGATTTTATTATAGCAACACCCACAGATTAAGACAGATGCAGAGGGCCAGCCCTCAAGTTGGCCTGTGAAGGAGCATCTAGAGACAACGTCAGGGCACGCCCTGAGGACGCACAGGGCCAGAGAGCTGCCTACCTGAAGGGAAAGCACTGGCAGGCCTTCTTGGGGCCCCTGTGGTGGCATTTCTGGTCTTGGACCTGCCACTGCAGCTTCACAGGGAGTCACCTTCACTTGACTGTGGTCACTGCAGGCAGGGCCCCGGGCACCCCAGGTGATTTTATGAAGTAGGTCTCTCTCAATCATCCTCCTTCTCTCCCTTCGGAGGGCTCTCCGGTTTCCACAGTCTGAGCCCTCCCGAACCCAGGAGGCAGCATTTGGGTCCATCTTCAGTTCTCCTTCTGGGAAACAGGGGGTGGCTTCTCCCTGTGGCCCCCAGGAAGGACTTGGGGATCCTTTGTTGTTGAAGGACATGCCCCCATGGTCACCTTCCTGCCACGTGGGAGTCTCCTCAGGCATCCTAAGAAGAGAGCTGCTCTCACCACTGCTCTCCAGAGGCTGGTCAGGGTCCCTTCCTTCTGTTGTCCTTGCATTGCATTCACCCCAGGGCTCTGGTGAGAATTCCATAGGCACCCCAAGTAGCTATTGAGAAAAAAGGTGTTCTCAGTTAGCAGCCTTAAAAACATACATTAGGGAAATTTTTTTCTTACTTTGGTAAAATATGTATATAACAAATTTTGTCATGTTAGCATTTGCAAATATATGGTTCCGTGGCATTAAGTACATTCATAATACTGTGCAACCATCACCACTGTCCGTTTCTTAAGCTCTTCCATCCCCCAAACAGAAACTCCATACCTCCCCTCACCCAGCCCCTGGTAGCCTATAATCTATTTTCTGTCTCTAAGAACTTGCCTATTCGAGCTATGTCATGTAAGTAAAACATACATTGCCTGTCCTTTTGTGCCCTTTTACTTAGCTCACTGTTTCCAAGTACTTCACATGGTAGCACATGTCAGTACTTCATTCCTTCTTGTGGACTGAATAAGATTCCACTATCTACCTATTCTGTCTACCTATTTTGTTTGTTGATGGACATGTGGGTTGCTCCCACCTTTGGCCACCATGAATAGGCTATTAGGGGATGGACAAGAGGAAACCCAGGCCCTTTGACTCCACAGCAAGCCCACAGTTCCACACCCATGAGTTGGTACAGACTTTTCCACCTCAGATTTTTTTTAAAAATCTTCCAGAAGAATGCTGAGGTAATTGTAGACATGAAGAAAACAAAATAAAGTCACAAACATCATTCCACCTGAACTAACCAGGGGTCTTGGAAGCCCCGGGGAATTTCTCCTGTTTGGGGTTCTTTCAGACATACTTTTAGGCATTGCTGAGTGAATGGATGACTTCTGTCATGGTGATGGGGAGGGGACATGCCCTAGCTCTGTAACATGACCCTGTGTCAGTGCTCACACTAAGAACTGAGTGTAGCTCGGGGTAAAGAGGAATAGCAGGGTGAAATGAAACAGAAAATGAGTCCCCCCCCCAACCCCCGGTCCTAAGTGTGCTGGACTCCTGGAAGAGTACTATGCACAAGGCGGGTAGATGTTTGGTGTCTGAATTTCTTGGGCTGTACCCAGAAAAAGGCCTGGGAGGTACAGAGAGGCTGGACCAGGGGTTTTAACCTCTTTGACCAGCACTGCTATTAAGTCCAGTGAGAGCCAGGGACACCTACTTCCACACCCCATTCTGCCAACAGGGTCCCAGCATACTGGATCCTTGGAGCCTGCATTCCACAGACCTCAGGAGGAGCTCTGTCAGCCGGAGGCACCCAGGCCCTGTCAGGTTCTTCAGCCAGCTCCTCCGACAAGTCTGGAATCAGGGTGGTTTGATTTCGCTGGAAGATGAACAGCTCCTCCTCTCCACAGTCTGACTGTGGACAGACAAGAGACCTTTGGGATTAAGTGGTAGTGGGCTGAGCCAGAAGGGCCTGGAGCCCCACCTGATCTTGCCCTACCCCACCCTGCCCCACCCTGCTGCTGGGGAACACTGAGATTAGTTCTCTCCCAAAGGTTCTTGCCCTGTGCTGGTTCCTGGGGCTAATTTAGAAAAGTGGGCTCAGCAGCACCACCTTGTGGAGGCGAGATCCCACGCTCCTAATTCTGCAGGTACTTGTATCCTTAAGACTGCATACAGCATGTGTTCAGCTAATGCCTGGTGCTGAATGAATTGGGCACCAAAGTGGTAGCTGAAAGAGCAGAGTCCAACCTCCCCCCATGACTTCAGCCTTGGTCTGTGGCCTCTAATACAGGGGCAAGGACACTTATACTTGCCAGCCCACCTCAACAGGGGTATTCTGAAGATGAGAGCAAATGAGACTGAAGATGTGAAAAGATACTGCGGTTGCATTATTTACTCCCTATTAGCCTCACTGTGCACTGGAGGATCCCTGAGGTCTAAGCTGTGTCACATTCATCTTTGCAGGTGCCACAGGTAAGACCCAAACCCAACTTGTTCCTTCTAAAACCTTGGCCCTGTCTCTAAATGCCCAGTTCCAACCTGTGCGTTTGACACCCACTGCTGAAAAGCTACCTGGTGCATTGCCCACTTTGCTCTGTTCATAGGGTCACTGTTATGTCTTACATATGTGTATACACCTAATTTCCACTACGTGGAGAAGTTGATATAGCTTATATAAGCCTAAATTCAGAGTCTCTTTTGTCACCCAACATTCCCTTAGTCAGGGGAAACTACTGTAGAAACACAATTACCATGATGGTGAAGCAGGGCCCACCACAGTGTATATTGTTACAAAGGGCTCCTGGTCCTTGAAGAGGCTAAGTGGGCTCCTTAAATGTTTGTTGATGTACTGCACGTGATCAATAAGAAAATTACTAAGTATTACACATTCACCACGTGCCAAGCACTGTGCTCCAATGTAGATTATTTAATCCTTACAACAATTTACAATGTGGGGGCTCAGTCTGTAACTCTTATAGCAAACTGGGGTGTTTGCCAGGATGAGAAAAATGCTAGCATATGGGTGATTTTGTTAACTCTGTTGAGCACACACTCTGCACCAGACACTTTGTATACAGATTCCAAAATTTGTACCAGTGATAACTATCTGTATTTTGCAGCAAAGAAACTGAGGTTGACCCAGGTGTAGAAACTGCCCGCAGATTACATGGTAAATTAGCGACTAAATAAGGATGAGGATCAAGGTCTGCTTGATGCTGAAGCCCCTGTTCTCCTTCCTCTGCTGAGGTGCTGTTCTCGACTCCCTGTTGGACAAGAACTTGGCCAGGACCACCTCTGAGAGTGGCTACCATTTCAATGCATTGTGATAAGCCCTTGGAGGAATCCTCCAGTTGTGGTTTGGGGTCACTGCTGTGGCCTAGGAGGGTGCTGAGCACCAATAAATATATTCAGAGAACAAAAACAGAGACGACAAATGCAGAGCTGATAAGCTCCACAGCTGTCCTTGCATCAGCATCCCATTTGTCATGGGACAGGAAGAGCAGTCAGGGCCCAGGACGGCATGAGAAGAAGGCATTTGCTTACCAAAGAGGAATCTGAGTCCAGAGATGGAACCTGCTCCCTGGCAGCCTCAAGAATGGCCTCCCAGGGCCCCATCTGGGAGGCCCAAGGAGAGGGCAGTGAGGGCCTCACATCTTTGTCTTGGGATGCCATGAGGGCCTGGGCTCAAGGGAAGCTTCTCAGTGTACCATCATCCAAGGAACCCTGGAGAGAATGTGGGATAAGGTGACAAGATCCAGGGACAAAGGGTCAAGAGCTGGAGGGGAAGGGGGCTGCCTTTTCACAGCATCTACTACTTTGTTGGGGATGGAAATGGATTCACAGACCTTCCATCCCATTTCCCTTCTGGTTCTGCAGGTTCCTGTTACTGAGTGCCAGGCACTGTGCCCTGAGCTGTGGGTGTATGTGTGTGTGTGTGTGTGCAGTGCAGTGCAGTGCAGTATGGAGCCTGCAGATATAGGTATATGATGTATGTAATGATATTGTATGATAATAGAGATATTATTGATATATATGTACATAGGTATATGATATACAGAATAATACATGTATATGTATATGGATATACATAAACTATATCTCTCATATAACATAGACACTATTATCTACATTTTATAGGCTTAGAGAAATTATATTGTTAGTAAATGGCACAGATAGAATTTTTATCAAAATTAGAGGGGATATGAAGCCCCACTATCTTTTACCACTCCCTTACAAAGAAATAAGAGCAGCGATTTTCAACCTTTTTCATCTCATGGCACATATAAACTAATTACTAAAATTCTGCAGCATACCAAAAAACATACTTTTTTGCTAATCTGACAAAAATAGGTATAATTTTGATTCATTCACAAGGGACTGCTATTGTTATGTTGGCTGTTGTCTTTTTTCTTTTTTTAATTTGACAGTCTAAGGGAAAAGGGGTCAGTGCCTCTAACTAAATAGTCAAGTACTTCATGTTTTAAAAATTCTTGTGGCACATTGGTTGAAAATCACTGGACTAGAGACATTTTGGAGTCCCCAGTTTTTTGTTTTTTTGTTTTGAGTCACCACTCAAATTAACCCCTTATACCTAGATGCCCCCCTTTTGTATCCCACAGTCTAAAAGGAAAAGGCCCTGCCCCTTAAGGGTCGAGGAGATTTTAAGAATGTGGGATGATGGTCCTTAAGAGCCAGTGCCTGGAGATTCCTTGCAGCCTGAGAGGTAGCCGGCCCTATTAAATGGGAAGAGAACACTACTGTTTCAGCCCTAACTGGCTATCACTCTGGCTCAGGGCTCCCATCAGTGTAGCAGCAGGAGAGTGAGCGGGGACGGGAACTTGATGCACCCAGAACTGGGAACTGGAGGGTGTGGACGCAGATGGTAGATACACCAGGGGTGTTCTCTGGCTGCAGGGAAGATGTGAAGGCAACAGAATCTCGTAGGTGAAGGGGGCTACCAGAGACTCGGGTAATTTCTTCAGGTTCACAAGGCAATTCAGGGAATGGGAAAGGCACTACATGTTGCGGGAGGAATTTGTACAGTGTCTCACTGAAAACTGCCCAGCATGTTTGGGGGCGGAAAGTGTCAGTTGCTGGTCTTTCCGACAAAAACGGACCAGATCGTGCAGGGTCCTGAATGCCAAGCTGAGGAGCTTGGCTTATCCAGCAGAGGAGGGTTAAACCAAAACCTAAACGAACCCGCAGCTCAGGTCTCTTCCAAATCCCGACTGTTAAACCAAGTCTGTTTCTTGGCCGCAGCCCGTTAGCCCCGCCCGAAGTCCCGCCCCTACCCTCCCGCCGAGGGGCGGGCAGTTGTTATGACGACTAGACGCCAACGACCTCCCCGGTCAGGCTTTTAAATGCTAACGTTCGGAAACCGCAAAAACCCAGCATCTGTCCTCTCACACATCCCCTTCTCCGCGTCCTGTCCAATTCTCGACATTTGTCTCTGCAGCTGCGGCAGGCCCAAGGCCCCTCACCTCAGGTCTCCGCCTCCTGACATGGCTATAAACAGTCTCCAGCGAGTCCCACCGGTCTCGTTCGCCTCCTTGGGCCGCGGCGCAACCACTGAGACTTTCGCCACCGTCGGAATCTCCCCTCAGCAGAGTTTTACTTTACTGTACTGCAAACCACTCGCCCCAACAACTCTCCAGTGCCTCTTGCGCGGCTTGGAGTTTCTTTCCTCTCTAGCAATAGGATTGGTTCCTATAGTCAGTGGAGGGGCGGGACAAGCGATCTCCCCCTGGTCATTGGCTGCAGCGGGTGTCATACAAAGAGCTGGGCCAGCAGACTGAGAGGTCCTCGTTTCGGACCAACGGCCAGAGCTGCCCCGAGGCCTCGCGAGCGTCCCGGCGTGCCCCGCGCCTTCGCAACCCCTTCCGGGGCGGGAGCAGGACCGCGGGGTCTGGTCACCGCGGCAGCCGGCGTGGAGGGGTCTCAGTCGCGCGCGGAAAAGAGCGGGCCCCGCCGAAGGAGCGCGGCAGCGAGCGGACGCGGTGTTGGCGGCGGCAACGGGCCGAAGGCGGCCCGGGGCCCGAAGTCCAGCGCAGGTAGGGTCCACGGCGGCCCGGCCCTGCCCGGTGCCCGCACCTGTTATCCACCTGCGCAGCCCGAAGCGGGGCACCCCAGCCCAGCGGCTTGTTCGCCGTATGAGTTTATGACTCGTAGCTTCTGCTTGTGCAGCTATGGAGCGGGCACTATAAAGCCACGTTCCATGTAGGGTTACTGGAAGGAGGCGCCAAGGGACATCAGTGCTGTAGGTGCTCGGGATATTCTCTAGGGACCTCCCCAGGGTTTGAAAAAGAAGTTGGGGTACCTCGGCCTCAGCGAAGGCCCAGGAGCCAGCGCGGGGACGGGTTGCCCTGGGGCTTTTACAGCTATCTCTTTCCTGTGGGCTTGATAGTTCACCAACAACGTCATCTTTTTTTTTAAGTTAACATTTTGCTTGTTTTTAAAGTAATGGATACTTAGTATTTTACAAAATGGGCAGAACTAAAATGTAGAGTGAATAAAGGTCTCATTCCTAGTACTACCTTCTGGAGATAAGTTCTGGAAGTGATATGCAGAAGACATTGTATAGCGAATACCCCATCATTGTAGAGTGTCTGGCATGTGGCAGGGTGTAAGGAAGTAATAATAACTTTATGGTCTCTTCAAATACAGATTCTTTCTTCCTAAGCTCTTTGAGCAGGAGTGTGATTCTGATTGTCACTGCGCACTCTTCAGGGTGTCAAACACATGAGCATGCAATAAAAAGAGAGACAACAGGGGCTCCACCAGAGAGGGGGCATTTGCCGTAGAAGAGACATACCCACAGAAGGCTTGAGGGGTGTATTGAAAATAGCTCTGAACTGACACAGCTTATTTGGCTTCTAATCCAGGCTCTGTGGGTCAGGACTGCTCAGAATGAGGGTGCTCACCTGTGAAGTGAGTTTCTTGAACTCAGGGCCTGCTAGGGTGAAAGATGATGATTCCAGGCGGTAGGCCTTTGCTCTGAATTTTGTTGCCTGTAGGCACCATCACATGTACACATAGTCTTGCAAAGGTCCTACAATTTTTTTGTCCTCCAACTTGGCAACTTGTTTGTTGTTTGGCCATTTTGACTGTCATCTGGGGCTTGGAAAGATTCTTTAATGGAGATTGAGGTCTGAGTGGCATCTATGAACTGCTTTGGTACCTTTGGGACATCTGAACTGGATGTAGCCTTTCTTTGTTTTCTCTTTCTTGCCCTTTTCTACATTTACTTCTTTGTCCTTTCCCACCCAGAATAGAACAGGAGACAGATGACACTCCTGGACTTGAGAGTTCCACTAGCAAGCTAATGACTTGGCCTTAATTTGGGTAGGATTCTCATAATCACAGACTTTTCTTCCAGGTGTTGTCCTATCTCTCCCACTTCTAAGGGATGCATAGAGAGATTCCTAGTCACTTACCATTTGCTGAACACCAATCACATCCTAGTTTGTGTGGTAGAGGCTCTCAATTTTTTTCAAAATTTATTTGTTTAAAAGAATTTACATACAGTAAATGAGTTTTGATAAATGCATAGAGTCACATATCCACCAGTTAAGATGCAGAACAGTTCCATCACCCCCAAATTCCCTCTTGCTTTCCCTTTGTGCCTTATATCCCACACCCCTTGTACTACTGATCTGTCACTTCAACCCTTTGGTTTTATATTTCCTGGAAAGTCATATAAATGGAATCATACAGTAAGTAGCCTTTGAGTCTGGCTTTTAGCCCATTGTGTTTGAGATTGTTTCCAATGTTGTGTGTATCGGCTGTTATTCTTTCTGCTTATTGCCAGGAGCATTCCATCCTATGAATGTGCCACTGTTTGTTTATCCATTCTTCCATATGTCTTTTTTTTTCTATGTGTCTTTAACAGCAGCCCTTTGAGATATTATGTAACCATTAGACAGTGAGGAACTGGGGATGGGAGATGCTAAGTAGTAGAGCTAAGATACAACTTCAGGTCTAGGGTTCTTTCCCACCTCACCCAAGAACTGATTTTGTTCACTGGCCCAATCAGAATTTCTCTATTGACCATCCAAGAAGTTGTCTAATTTCTTGAGTTCCTGGAAAACACCCTTTCTAGAATGTGGGGGCTGAGGATTAATAAAGAAAAATACACACCACAGTTTATGACTCACCTGCTCTTCTTTTTCTGTCTCATGACAAACTCACAAAATCATACACTATGTAATGAGAGGAAGTTTTCTAAGTCAGTCCCAGGAAGGAATCGACTACGTTGGGTAGCAGACTGCTAAGAGAGTGACATAGCTGCCTACTGTGGGTAGGAGTATGACCATCCTGTTTCATTCCTTAGCACCACCAGGAAAGAAAGACCTAACCCCTGGGCCTCCCTCCACAGCAATGTCGGAGCTCAGCGATGAAGCCAGTGAGCCAGAACTCCTGACTCGCAGCTTGTCCATGTGGCATGGGCTGGGTGCGCAGGTCAGCTGCGAGGAGCTGGCTGTCCCCTTGGATCTCCACACAGCAGCTTCCATCGGCCAGTATGAAGTGGTAAAGGAATGTGTTCAGCGGTAAGAAATCTTGCCTAATTAGTGGCTTCAGCTCCCACATGGAGATATTAGTAAGCTAGCCAGACCTCATAGACATTTAATGCGTATGGCCTAGATTAATCTGCTTCTGTTAGGCAGTTGTCAATAATGATTTATGCTGGACTGTAATGAGGAAGGCAGTTTTTATTCCCAGGAAGAAAAATCTAGTTTAAATTTTTTTCATAGGCTTAGCTAGAAACATTTTTGGCTTACTTTAACCAGAGTAATTTTATTGTTTTCACTAACTGCAGAAATGCTTAAATAAAAACAAAGATAGAAAATGATGTCCTATGACCTTTTCCCAAGGGATTCATTTTAATCTCTTGTGCCCTTCTCTCCCCTCTAGCTTCTGCCATAGAGGAGGAGGAGGCGACAAGGTTTATCTGTCCCTTTGGAGGAGTGCCATCTGAACTAACTGTCACACTACTTTTTACTAATGTTATGCATATATTAAGTCCAGATACAGCATCAGTGGCCATTGGCTATTTGTTGTTTGTAGTACAATGTGATGTGTACTGTAATTTTTGGAAAAGAATCTGTCTACTCACCTCCACCTCCTTATGTCTGCCACACTTTGTGCTCACACTCCCATTTCTCATCAATAACCCAGAAAAATGATCTATGTCCATACTGACATGTGCCTTTTCCAATTCCTGGGGTGCCAAAGCTGAGCCTCATTGAAGCCTCAGATTTCCAGTTCCCAAGTCAGAGCCATCGCTTATAAAAACCTGGCCAATTGAGTGCAAGTGCACTGTGGTGAGGGATAACTCTTTGTACTCCTGCACCAGGTGGCCTTGCAGTTGTGTAGCTGGGTACTCAGGCAGCACACCCCCATCAACAGGGTCACTATGACCCCAGTTATAACTCTGCTCCTTTGGTATTCTTGGGCTTTTCAAACTCAGGTTGTTGGTAAAATGCATAGTTCAGAATGGCCCCACAGAGGGGAAGAGGGAAGTGTTGGTGTTTTGATTGGGATTCTGATGCTGGCTGAGCCTAAGGCTTGCTCACAGTAAAACAGACTGAGGACCCGAGGAGTTGGAGGCAACAGAATGGGGGATTGGGCTGATGGGAGGTGTAAGAGCCTCAGATGTGTTCTGCCAAAGGTCAGGTCCTTCCCTCTCCATGTGGAATTGAGTGCTCCATCAGATGAAGGTCATGTGGTGAGGATGAATTGGTCTTCATGCGGCTCTCCCAGCCAGCAGTTGTTACTGCATCCCTGGAATCAGAACATTTCAGAATGGCTCTGTGGGCATCCCAGAGTCAATAGAAGATGCTGGCGAATTGTATGGTTTAGTATGCACAGACCTACGAGAGGCACAAACTGTGTGGATTGATTGGCAGTTGTTAGCTCCACTGGAGGCAAGGACTGTGGAAGAGGAAAGCCAGTGGGGCGTGAACTACACAGGACGTTTCTGGAAGTGGATGTTATTTCCATACGCTAACCACAAACTCTGGGTTGGGCAGCCCACAATTTTTTTCCTGTGGGAAATGTTTTCCAGAATTTTAATCAAAAGTAGAAAGGATTATTTTGTTGTGGATTTTCTAAGAATGTGTCTTTCTTATTTTTAAAAAAATTGATTTTAGAGAGAGTGGGGGGAAAGAGAGATTTGTTCCATTTATTTATGCATTCATTGGTTGATTCTTGTATGTGCATGACCCAGGATTGAACCCACAGCCTTGGCATATTGGGACAATGCTCTAACCATCCTAGCTACCCAGTCAGGGCTTGAAGAATGTTTCTGTAGGGTGGGTGAGGTGACAAATGAGAAATCAGTTGCAGTGGGACTCCATTGTCTTTCCTCTCCCGCCAGCACTGGACTAGCAGGCTGGTCTATTGGTGGAAGGTAGTCAGGCTCCAGGTCAGGATTTTTAGACCTTGGCACCACTGACAGTCTGGGCCAGGGCATTCTTTGTGGTGGGGGCTGTTCTGTAGGGACACTGTAGGATGTTTAGCAGCACTCCTGGCCTCAACTCCGGCTCTGGTAAACCCCATGTGTGAGATGGCTGGGTGTGTCTAGCATATCTTGCGTTTGTTTAGGAGAGAGTTAGATTTGAATAAGAAGAATGGTGGTGGCTGGACCCCGCTGATGTATGCCTCCTACATTGGACACGATACCATCGTGCACCTCCTGCTCGAGGCGGGGGTGAGTGTGAATGTGCCGACCCCAGAAGGGCAGACTCCACTGATGCTGGCTTCCAGCTGTGGCAACGAGAGCATCGCCTACTTTCTCCTCCAGGTGAGCTACGAGGGGTCTCAGGCCCAGAAATCTGAGGGGCTTCTGGCTGCTCTGGCGGAAACGTGAACCACTGTAGGCCGTGGTGTGCGTTTGTGTGTAATCACTTTGATTCTTTCAGCATGATGGCCCAGAGGGTGCCTGCTCCACGCAGAGGAGACAAGGCTGTAATGAGCATTCTGTGTTCTCTCGAAGCAAGGTGCTGAGCTAGAAATGAAGGACATTCAAGGCTGGACTGCGCTTTTCCACTGCACCAGCGCAGGACATCAGCAGATGGTCAAGTTCCTTTTGGACAGTGGGGCAAATGCCAACGTGAGGTGATTATCAGGTCTTAAGTGGCCACAGGAGTGGGTGCGGTCATGTCTAACTCTAAGGAGGGCAACAACAGAGGCAGCTGTAGGCCAGAGTCAGGGTAGCCCCCATCTGTATCAGGGGTTCAGACAACGAGACAGAAGAGACAGTCCCACCCATGTGCAAGAGGCCTAGGGATAATCCTGGCTTTTTTATACATCTGTCACGTGACACTGGATGCAGCACTTCAAGCTCTCTGAGCCTCGTTTCCTTTATCTGAAAACTGAGGATAGCGATACCTAAGTCATAGAGTTGTTAGAAGAATTACATGTTCTTTTATAAGCCAGGGGCCCAACATAGTGAATGGTAGTTAAATGACATACATTAAATGCTAATTCCTTTCTCCTTTTGGCCTTATTTGGTGAGGCGATGTTTTGAAACAGTCATGAGTTTTATAAGCTGGAAGGGGTAGCGTCTAAAGAATGTGATGATCCTGGCTGGCGTAGCTCAGTGGATTGAGCGCGGGCTGTGAACCAAAGTGTCGCAGGTTCGATTCCCAGTCAGGGCACATGCCTGGGTTGCAGGCCATGACCCCCAGCAACCACACATTGATGTTTCTCTCTCTCCCTCACATCCCTCTCTAAAAAGAAAAAGAGAGAGAGAGAGAGGGAGGGAGGGAGGGAGGGAGGGAGAGAGATGATGATGATGATGATGATACTCTCAACACAGCATCCAACTGGCACTGTCCACAGCCCTGATTGATGTTATGTGTTGTGTTGTGTTCAAACAGCTTAGAAGCAGTGAAGATAGAGAGACAGTGTCTTTAGGACAAAAGCCTAGAGCTGCAGTAGACACTAGAAGGGTTCATAAGGCTGACGTGTTGGTAAGAACTTATCTCTCCCCATTAATTCTTGCAAGAGGGAGACCTCTGCACTTAGGGATGATGGGTGACTTTACATCAGCTTGGTTTTGTCTACATCAGGGAAGCATCTCCGTGGCAGGGTTTTTCTCTGCTAATCATTGGACTCTGTCTTGCAGGGAACCAATATATGGATTCACTCCTTTGATGGAAGCAGCTGCGGCTGGCCATGAAATAATTGTGCAGTATTTTCTGAATCATGTAAGTGACTCTTTTTATTAGCTTATAATTTAGTCACAGCAAGTGACAAATCATGTCACTGAAGTATAAACTATAACAACTTTCTGCTACACAGAAATAACTGCTCTTCATCTAGTTATTCAACACATTTTCACTGAGTATCTATCTATTGATGCCAAGTGTTAAGTGGCACTTAGGCATGAGAGGTGTGGTGGTGAGTATTTTGAAAAGACTTATTTAAAAAGTATGGAAAAAAAAGTATGGAAAGTATATTTTTAAAACATCTTATTACTTTAAAAAATTATGTAGAGGAAGAAGGCAAAGATCTTCATCCCTTTTCAACCACTCCCTGCTCCTCCGCAAGATGCCTACTTAGTTTTAGAAGGAGACACTCCAGGACTTTTCTTCTGCTTAGAAACATGTATCTGTAGACACCTGTAAATGGAGTGCTTTTTGTCTTGGACAAAGTGGGGTGGTTCTGTATATTTGCTCTACAGATTTAAAAAAACACTTAATATGCCTTAGACAGCTTATCCTTATATAGTATTCCATATTGCATATTCTGTGCCATAGTTAATTTAATCAATTTCTTATTAGTAGAAATGTAGGTTTCCAACATTTTACAATTATAACCAGTACTCCAGGCAGTATCTTTATATATACAGCTTTACCATGCATGCAGTTATTTCTGTATAGTGTATTTCTACAAGAGGAATTGCTGGTGATCATGTTTTAAATTTAATAGGTCCTAATAAAAAGATAATTAAAAGATGGGCAAAGGATCCAGATAGACATTTTGCCAAAGAAAACATGCAGATGGCCAATAAGCACGTGAAAACATGCCTGACATCGTTAATCATCAGGAAAATGCAAATAAAAACTACTAGGATGTCTAATAAAGAGATGAACAAGAGCAAGGGTTGGTGAGGATGTGGAGAAATTGGAAAACTCATACACTGTTGATGGGAATGTAAATGATGCAGCCTCTTTTGAAAACAGTCTAGCTGTTACTCAAATATGTAAACATAGTTACTATGTGACCCAACAATTCCACTCCCAAGAGAATTGAAAACATGTCTACGTAAAACTTAAATGCCAATGTCCAATAGCAGTGTTCTTGATAATACCCAAAATGTGGAAACAACCCAAATGTCCACCAACCAAAAAATGGATAAATGTGTTATATTAATCGGGCATAAAAAGGATACTGCAGGGATAACCTTGAAAATGTTATGCTAAGTAAAAGTCAGATGCAAAGGACCACATATTGTATGATTCGTTTTATATGAAATGTCCAGGATGAGCAAATCCTCAGATACAGAAATAGATTAGTGGTTGCCTCAGTCTGGAGGGGATGGGAAAATGGAAGAGAGGGCGATGGTTAAGGGGTACAGGATTTCTGTTTAGGGTGATGAAGATGTCCTGAAATTGGTTATGGCGATGGTTGCATATTGTCGAATTATACACTGTAAGTGGGTAAATTGCATAGTATGTGATTATATTTTAATTAAGTTGTTTTAAAAAAAACCAGTAGGGAAAATATTTAGTTTATATTTAAAGTCCTAACAAACTCCCAGTAAAAAGTTGTTCTGTTGTCCTTCCCACCAGTAATGTACACAGGTGCCCACTTTCTCATGTCCTTACCAGCCTTTAAGATGGAAGGTTACCCGTCTTAAGTTTCTTCTAATCTGGTGGGAGAAAAGTGGCATCTAGTTTTGGTTTGTACTTACTAATGAGATTGAACATTTTAGAATATATTGTCCATTTGTAATTCTTTGATCAATTGTCTCTTTATGTTTTGGCTCAATTTTCTATTATATAGTTTTTTTTCCTCATTTATTGGTGGGAACTTTAGAATAATAAAATGTTAACATGTATCTCTTTTTAAAAAAGAATTTGGGGACAGTACATTTACATGGTGAAAATACAGATGAGAAAGAAGGTACTGTATTTTTAGGACTATAAGATGCACCGGACCATAAGATGCACCTAGGTTTTAGAGCAGGGAAATAGGAAAAAAACATTTGAAGCAAAAAATGTGGTAAAATATCTAATAACATAAATAACATAGGCCTCCCTCCCCACAGTGAGCCAGGTAAGCTACGTTCGGACTATAAGACCCACCCCCCATTTCCTCCCAAATTTGGGGGATGGATCTTATAGTCTGAAAAATATGGTATATAGTGAGTCTGCCTCTGGCCTTTGCCTCAGTCTCTTGGTCACTCTCCTAGGGCTGCTACCCAACTTGGTTTTTTTTTAAACTGTCTATCCTGGAGATTATTTTATATCATCATATAAAGCTCTTGTTTCTTGTGTGTGTGAGGCGCATAGTACTCCCTCATAGGATTGAATTAGAGTTTCTATAGAGTGGTCTACAGACAGAATTAGACTGTTGCCAGTCATTCACTATTATGCACAGTGCCGTGGAGAGTGTGTGTGCACGTATATCCCTGCACACTTTTACGACCCCTTCTGTACAGTTCAGTACTAAAGGTAGAAGGGTGAAGTGAAAGTACAGTCTTAATATGGATGTTGCCAGATTGCCATTGGAAGAGCAAGTTGTACCAACTGACACTCTCCACAGAAGCAAGAATTATGAATCTTACATTATGAAGTACTCTAAGCATATTAAAAAACGCAGAAGCTAATACAACTAACCCATATGATCCAGAGGTCACCACTATCCAGATGCTGGGCTGTACCTCTCCTATCTCTGATTTTGGTGCTTTCATCACTTACTGTGTGTCCTTAAGCAATACATAGACTTGTTTTATATATTTTAAAGGTTTGTATAAATAATATACCAGACTGTATGTGTCATTCGACAGTGTTGGTACATGTAGATGTCGTTCACTCACTTTAACAGCTCTGTACTTACTGAATATATGAATATATTATATTTACCCTTTTTTAGTGGACATTTAAGTTGTACTCACTTTGCTATTTCTAACAGTGCTGCAACTCACACTTTCTACCAGTCTTAAGCACGTGTGAAGGGATTCCTGCAGGAGGTCAGGATATATTCTTCAGAGTAGAACTTCGGTGGGTAGCGTGGGTACATCTTCACTAGAGAGTGTTAATTCGCTTTCCTCCATACTTGTCCCAGTTTACACTCTTATAGTATTATATAGCTCTTGTCTCCCACACCCTTAGTAACACTTGCTACATGGTATCAGATGAGCTGTCTCTTATTGGTTTTTACTGTTCTAGATTTCTGGTGAGGTTGAGCATCTTTTCATATATTATTGGCCATTTGGGCTCTCTTTTCTACAAATAATTATTCTTTGAAGGTAAGTCTACTCACATGGACTAGGATCCTTAAGACATAGCCTAGGGCCAAAAATAGATGGGCAGAAAAAGTAATAAATACAAACAAAAAACTAAAACAAACAAAAAAGAATAGAGGAGTAGGAACTCAACTGCAAGAAGCATAACCTCTACTTCTGAGTTTAGAGTCAGATTTTTAAATAAACATTGTATTTATTTATCTTTAGAGAGAGAGGAAGAGGGAGAGAAACATTGATGTGTGAAACATCAATCGGTTGCCTCTTGCACGCCCCCAACCGGGGACCTGGCGTGTAACCCAGGCATGTGCCTTGACAGGGAATCAAACCAGTGACCTTTCAGCTTGCAAGATGAGGTCCACTGAGCTATACCTGTCAGGTCTAGAGCCTGATTTATTTATTTATTTGCCTGATTTTAAATAAGGTGGAACTGGAAATTGTAAGAGACAGTCACTTATGTGGTGCTTTAAATGGAAAACATATTGGTGAATCAGAGACTTGATATCTTTTATCTGCCATGCAGATTACATCCTCACATGGTGCTCTGGGTTCCTTTACTCTTCAGCTGGGCCTGAGATTGTGTGTGGGCAACTTGTATTGAAGGAAAACAGATTGTATTGGATTTCTTTTGGAAAATTTAAAAAAATTTAAACTTATAATTTCAGACTTAAAGAAGCATCACAAAGTAGTGCAAAGATTTTGCATACCTTTGTTAGATCCCCAGTGTTAACATTTTCTATCTCTGTATATTTATATGCATAGCCTTTTAAAAATAATTTGAAAATAAGTGCTGACATATGCCTTTCCCTCTAAATACTTTCATATGTATTTCTTAAAAATAAGAATTTTCTTTTTCATAATCACATACATTTATCAAACTCAGAAAATCAACAGTTTTTCTTCCAGCCCCCTAATCAGTAAGTGAAGGTGTTGGTCAATTCCCAGCGATTGCTTTTTGGCTGAGGGGGCTGGTGCGCACAGCCCAGAGCTTGTGGCTGATGAGCCAGGTTGTTCCACTGCTGGGGAGGCTGTCCAGCTTGCCCTGCATGGCCACTCCTTGTTCCTTACAGATCTCCTCCTGCTAGGCCAGGGTTAGCCAGAGGGATGGACCCACCAGGTCTCTTGACCTGCCCCTCAGTAGCCAGGCTTTCTTCTTAAAGATGGACAAGTGGATGAAGCGAGGCACCTGGTGCTCTTCACCAGGGAAGGAAAGGGCTCTGGCTGCTCCTTTTGCACTCCATGTCCCTTCCTCCCAGTGGGGCCAGGCTCCAACAGCTCACTCTGGGCAGAGTGATCAAGGTGTGTTTGGGCCCCTCGCAGGCAGCCAGTGGCCCTCAACCTGATGAATGCACCCACTGTCATACTTGTCCTGGTCTCTAAACTTTCTGATCCCAATGAACCATACAATTTTCTAGTAATATATTATATACATTATAAAATAGGAAGAAAAATTGAAGAACATTTGAAGGGTAAATAGAAATTTAATACTCTCTTTCCTCACCTCATGGACCTTCTTGTTCTTGGTTCTCTTTATTTCTTGCTAAGGAATAGTGTTGCTTTAGTACAGGCTGAAGTCTTTTAGGCTTAAAAACAGCTATTAGTTAAAACCCTACAGTGAAGATGGTATTGTTTGTTGTGGGTGAAACCTTTGGATTTCTCCTATCAAACTGAAACTAGAAATTATCTTTTTTTCCACCAGTTATATTGAGATAATTGACATGTATCACTATGTCAATTTTGATTGTAAGTTGATTTGACTTATGTGTGTTGTGAATAATTACAACAATAAATTTAAACTATCTGTCATTCCATATAGATAATATAGATACTATCTATCATTCCATATAGATAATATATATATATACACACACACACACATATACACAGGGCAGGCAGATACTTAAAGGAAAGAGGCGGTCAGGTGCTGCTCCAGGTGAGAAGGATAACTCAGGCTACTGTGCATTGAGAACCTGCCTATACTCTTGGCACCCAGGCATGCACCCAGGCAAAAGTAGGTTTAGTTGTTCATATGGAAAATAATACAATAATCAATAAACAATATAAGGACAAACTGTTTTGCATACTCACAACTGCAAACCTACTTTTGCCCTCCTGTATGGATGTTTTTAGCTCATGATGGGGATTCTTAGGATATATTCTCTTTAACAGCTCTCTTGTACATCATCCAGTAGTATTAACTATAGTTTACATCCCTGGCATTTATTTGTCTTATAATCGAAAGTTTGTGCCTTTTGACAGTAACATAGTAGACTCTCCACCCTGAGCATTTTAAGTTATTGTCAGGTCTTCATTATTGCAAATACGTTGTGCTAAATAAATATCTTCGTGTGTAAAACCTCTCTGTATTTGGGCTTTTTCCCTTAGGACAGAGTTGCAGAAGTGGAATTACTATGCTGAAGACTCTAAGTACTTTTTAGGGCTTAGGATACAAGTTACCAAATTCTGTTTCAGAAGGGTGGCACTCTTATCCTGATTATGTTTTTTAAGGACTCCTTCTCTAGCGAATCTGTTGCCTCAGTTTCCTATGTGAAGAGAATGAAGCAAGGTGGGTGCATGCCTAGGTGCCAAGGGTGCAGGCGGGTTCTCAATGCACAGCAGCCTGAGTTATCCTTCTTACCTGGAGCAGCACCTGACCGCCTCTTTCCTTTAAGTATCTGCCTGCCCAGAGCAGCTGAAAGCCAATGCAGTGAACTTGGAGAGCTGTCTCAGCTATGAGATGACTGGATTACTGCCTTGTATGATGAGCCAACAAGCACCTCCCCACACCCCCAGTTTTAGCATTGAAAATGAGAGACCATACACCTTTGCCTTTTCTCCCACAGCTGTGAGGTTTTAGAGGACCTTGGGTGTAGACCTTTCCAAGGTGGTGATAAGCTATTGCACCTCTTGTCCCGGGTCCATAGCCCCAAAAGTGAAGGTGCTTTGCAGGGGAGGTTCTTAACTCTTGTTCTTTTACTAACTTTCACAGGGAGTCAAAGTGGACACAAGAGACCACAGTGGAGCCACAGCCCGAATGCTGGCCAAACAGTATGGACACATGAAGATAGTGGGGTTGATAGATGCTCACTCCCTTTCTTTGCCCAAGAGCCTGTATCGGAGCCCAGGTACCTATCTGTGGCTTCACTCTCTGCTGGAATCCCACCCTTTGTTCTCACCTGCTTTGAGAGATTTGGCTCCTGCAGCCTTGCCAGACCTGTATCTCCCCTGGTGAATCCATTATGCAGTCAAGGTTGAGACCTGCTTGTCCAGTGGGACCAGACAAGTTAGTTAGGCTGTAGAGTGGCACCTGCCAGGCTGAATTTGGGTACACCAGATGTGGGTATGTGGTGCCCACCCAGAGGTAGGAGGGCAGCCTCATTGAGGGGCTGGCTTCTGGGTTTGTTTTGTTTTGTTAGCTTCTGGGTTTTGTTTCTTGACTTTTATGGTGTTTGTTGCCATGTAGAATGTTTTAATTTTATGTAGTAAATTCATCAATCTTTTTTATTTCCTTTGGATTTTGGGTCACAAAATCTTTCCCTGTGCCCAAATTGTATAAGAATTTACCTATTGCCCTGGCTGGGTGGCTCTGTTGGTTGGAGAGTTGTCCCATACGCCAAAAGGTTGTGGGTTCAATTCCTTGTCAGGGGACATACCTAGATTGTGGTTTCGAAACCTGGTCAGGGCATGTACAAGAGGCAATTGATTGATGTTTCTTTCTCTCTCTAAAATCAATTTAAAAAAATATATCTTCACGTGAGGATTAAAAAAATAAAGAATTCACCCATGCTTTTTTCTAGTACTAACATGGTTTCATTTTTTTTCATTGAGATCTCCGACCCATTTACACTTTATTTTCATGTATGGTGTAAGGTATGTTTTTTTTCAAATGGCTCTCCAGTTGTCCTAGCATATTTATTTAAAAGTCTAGCTTTGACCTAGTGATCTGAGAAGCTGTCTTTGTCACACGAAATTTCCATTTGTGCTGTAGACTGTTTATTCTGTTCTTGGTCTGTCTATTCACACACCAGAGCCACACTGCTGTAATTATAGAGGCTTTTTGTAATATGTTTTACTATCTGGTAGGGCTGGTCTCTCTTGTAGCTTTCCTTTTTCATTGCTTTGCTAGTGATAGCTTTGTGTGTGTGTGTGTGTGTGTGTGTGTGTGTGTGTGTGTGTGTGTGTGAACTTGAACATCAACTTATCTAGCTCCTTAAAAACAGCATGTTGATATTGAGAGTGTGGCAAATTTATAAATTAACTACCCCTTTATGTTGCTGAGTCATTCCAGCTAACAAAAGGATTGTGCTTTTGTTCAAGTATATTTTTGTATCTTACAGGAGAGTTTGAAATTTTTTTCTAATATTCATTTTGCGTATAACCTAAGTATATTTCTAAGTGTTTGATTTTCTTTGTTGCTGTTATAAATGGGGTTTCACTACCAGCGTATCCTCTAACCACTTATTGTCTGTGAATATGAAAGCTATTGATGTCTGTATACCAATTTTTTAAAATATATTTTATTTATTTTTTAGAGGGGAAGGGAGGGAGAAAGAGAAGGAGAGAAACATCGATTGGTTGCCACTCATATGCACTCTGATCAGGACCAAACCTGCCACCCAGGCCTGTGCCCTGACTGGGAACTGAACCAGCGACCTTTTGCTTTGCAGGATGATGCCCAGCCAGCAGAGCCACACCAGTCAGGGCATGTATACCAATTTTATATTCTGCTGCCTTACTCAGTTCTTTCATTGTTGAGTTAGTTTTATTTATTGATTCTCTAGGATTTTCCAGGTATACTCCCATATAATTTGTAAATAGAGTTAGATTTACTACTTCTTTCTGATTTTTATTCCTCTGATGTCTTTAGTTTCATTGGCTAATACTTCTAGTACAATGTTGAATATAGTGGAGACAGTGGACATTCCCTGGGTCCTAACCTTAGTGGAAATGCCATATTAAGTAAGATACTGACTTAAGAGACGGTGTGCATATATTTTATGATGTTAAGAAAGTATCTGTTGCCCTGGCTGGATAGCTCAGTGGGTTAGAGCATCATCCCGATATATCAGGATTACGGGTTTGATACTGGGTTAGGGCACATATAAGAATCAACCAATGAACGCATAAATGGGTGGTACAGCAAACTGATGATTTTCTCTCTCTCTTTCTCTCCCTTCCTCTCTCTCTAAAATCAATGAAAAAAATAAGAAAGTATCTATCATTTCCTATATTCTTGAGTGTTTTCTACAAGAATAAATGTTGACTTTTGTCAAAGTCTTTTTCAACATCTATGGGAATGTTTGTGAATTTTCTCTTTAGATCTATTAACATGATATATTAATGAATTTTCTAATAATGACCAACTTTACCTTCTTGGCATAAATCCCACTTGGTGTATTATTTTCCTAATGTGGTATTGGATTCTGTTTACTAATGTTTTATTTAGTGTTTTATTTAGCCATTCATTCATAATTAATATTGGTCTGTGATTTTCTTCTGTCTTTGTCAGGTATAGGTATCAATATTATACTTGCTTTGTAAAAAGAATCTGGAAGCTTCCCTTCCTTTTTTGTGCTCTAGAACAATTTTTGCAGCATTGGTGCCCTATGGCCTTTGAAGATTTGATAGGATTCTCCTGCTAAACCATCTGGGCCTGGTCCTTTTTGTGGGGTGGTTCCTTGATGGCTCTTTTTGTTTCTTCTGTAGAAATTGGTATGCTTAAGCTTTCTAATTTCACTGGCGTCAATTTTGGTAAACAGTATTTTCCTAGGAAATCATTTCATCCTAGATTTCAAGCTTATTTACATAGAGGTCTGAAAATAGTTTTTTTCTCCTTCTGCTTTTAAAAGTTTCTTCTGTTTCATTGGTTACTTCTTTCTCTTATCTCATTCATTTTTTTCCTAGTTTTTGTAATTTTCTTCAACACTTCAGGTTCAGTTTCCATTTCAAACCTGTTATTTGGGCACTTGGTAATACAGTTTATACTTTCAAACTTTGAGTCTTTTTTCCTTTTTTTTTTTTTTTTCATAAGTTTAGTCAGTTTTCTCACCATTCCATGTGAGTGTCTGTGTCTTTTTGTCCTCAGTTTTGAATATCTGATTCAGGATGCTTTCTCCTGTCCTCAGGTGCTGTTGAAGGATCTGGAGTTCAATATTGTGTCATGGTTTTTTCTGCTTCCTCATTGGTTGAGTTTTGGAGAAAAGGGAATGTTTTCACTTGCTGAGCATTTGATTCCCATTTTTGTGTGCCCCCGGTAGTATTTGTGCATAGGTGGAGGTCACTGGTGCTCCTGCATTTCACAGGCAGGGCTTGGTGGTCTGGCTACTGTGTGAATCCTGGTCCAGGAGTTCCCTCCTCCCCAGTGTCCAAGGACAGTCTCTTTACTAGGTGGCCTTTCTTTTTTTGGAGTGGGATGTAGTTAGGACAAGCATTATGTGTCCTCTGATAAAATTGTGTCTTGCTAGATCCTGAACTTCCCCTGTTTGCTTTTTCCCTTTACCACCCGTTTCCAGAAGGTGTCTCTCCCCTGAAGGACTGCTGCTCCTCTGACTGTTCCCTCGGTCCCATGTGCATTCTTGAGTCACTTCCTTGTGATAGTGCTCTGCTCCACCAGGATTTTTTTTTTTCCAGTATTTTCTCCCATAGAGCGGACTTCATCTTTCTGGGAATGACATTGGCACTTCTTTCCCCTTGTCTGTCCTCTGAGTGGTTTTTCCTAGACCTGCTTTGTTCCCCACAGAACAGAGGTGAGCGAGTTGGATATTTCTTTGCTGGAGAGGGACATTTGTCTGCTCCTCACAGGAGCAGGATCTTTGAAGTTTGTGGGCTCTCAGTGTTCTAGGTCATGTTGAAGGTGTGGGATTTGTGAGACTCTATGTTCCTGCTGATTTGTGTACACTTCCGAGAACATGTTAGAAAGTTGGGATTCATGGAGTGCTGCCTTATCCTTGGTTCCCTCTCCCTTATACCTTTATTTTTTATGACTACATCTTCTGCTTGGACAGGACCCTGGTCTCCCCCCTGGTGACATAGGTCCTGGAGCAGATGGGAGTGAGTTGAATAGGGAAAGGAGGGAGTGGTCCACTTGAGTCACTGGCCTGCATTTGGAACCTGGGTCAGTAACTGCCTGACTTGCCAGGCATGAGCTCTCAGTTCACATCTGAGTGAGCCCGCTCCCTTTCCAGGGTCTGGTTTTGTCCAGCTCCCTTTCTGGCCTCAGGACTGTTTTGTAGTAAATATTAGCTCCTTTGGTGTGCAGTGGTAGGGAGGGACTTTTCCACGTCTCTGCCCCAGTTTACCAACTCCAAAATGAGATTGTGTTAGATGAGAGAGCCTGATACAAAGGTATCCATGAATTTTGCCTTCAGGGTATGACAAAATACAGGAAACTGTGAAAAGCAATAAAACAATGATGGTTGTGGGGTATGCTGAGCATTTAAGCTCAGATGGGTGGTGATTTGAAGTGCTTCCTAAACATTGCACAGAGGCCTCGTGTGGCACTGGTTTCCCAGGAAGTTGTTCAGGTTGAGAGTATAAACTCGCTAAGAAGTCACGAGTGATGCTGCCATACATTTATGAATGGATTTTGTCTCTTCAAGTTAGAATAAAATCTATTTCCAATTGTAAACACAATACATACTTGTTATAAAAAAATTCTTCAAACCCAGAAAATTAGAAGAATAAGAAATAAGAATTTAGCCCTGGCTGTTGTGGCTCAGTGGATTGAACACGGGCTGCAAACCAGAGTCGCTGGTTCAATTCCCACTCAGAGCACATGCCTGGGTTGTGGGCCAGGTCCTCAGTGGGGGCCGTGTTAGAGGCAACCACACATTGATGTTTCTCTCTCCCTTTCTCCCTCCCTTCCCATCTCTAAAAATAAATAAATAAACGCTTAAAAATTGAAGTAAGAATTTAGACTCTCCCATTATGACAGAATTTTTCAGTTCAGTTCATACCTAAGAAGTTTGCTGTTCCCCCAAATGTTCCCATAGTGCAGGGATGTCAAACTCATTTTCACTGGGGCCCACATTAGCCTCACAATTGCCTTCAAAAGGCCGGATGTAATTTTAGGACTGTGTAAATGTAACTACTCCTTAACCAGGGGCAAGGAGCTCCGTGCTGCCGCCAGGTAGAAACAAGGTGCCAGGCCAGATAAAACAAGGTGGAGGGCTGGATTTGGCCCACGGGCCTTGTGTTTGCCACCTGTACCATAGCCCATCTGAGCAGTGGACTGGCCCATTATGGCATTTTTTTTAAAAGTTCTATTTAAAAATTTTTAAAAAATTTTTTTCTCAATTATAGTTGACATTCAATATTCCACTCCACCATTTTGACTGGAAATCCTATTATGGCATTTCTTACAAGTGAAGTTTTAGGAAACATTTTTGTTCTTAATTTAAGAAAACCAATTATGAATTATTTTTCTTCCAGTTTACTATGAGGATTAGTAAACTGGTTTATCACTGGACAGATTGTCTACATTTTTGTGTTTGACCCACAGAAAAATATGAAGACCTGAGCTCTTCAGATGAATCCTGCCCTGTTCCTCAGAGACAGAGGCACTGTCGGAAGAAGGGCCTCAGCATCCATGAGGGGCCTCGGGCCTTGGCCAGGATCACAGCTATTGGACTCGGGGGCAAGACCCAGCCTTCTTGCTACGGTGAGCATTCCACATTTCCTGATGGCTTTTTGATAGTGCTTTCAAGGATTCTAACTGGATGAGAAGAACAACTCTCGGGCTCCTAAAATGTGGGCTGCTGGGTAGGAGCAGCAGCTCAAAAGACTCAAAAGTGATGACAGTGATGGAAATACATTGGGTGTGGCTGGATCTTAGATTTACGTTCATCCTTTGATTTGGTTTTTCATTGGTTAAAATTATAAATAAGAGCAGCAGAAATGTAGCAAGGCTCAGATTTTATTCATCACACAATGAGTTAGCTAGTGCAGGAACAGTGTAACCTTTGAGCCCTACTTCCTGTCTCTGGCCATAGCACCTAAACATGATACTTAACACATTTTTTGGCTTGAGACAGATATGCCTCTGGGCCAGGCCAAGGAATGACTGCGCTCTTGCCCTTTCCTCCAGGTGACGGGTTTGATGCTGAGATCCTTCTGAGAATTGTCACGTGGTGCTCTTGGTGGGCTAGGATCTTAGGCCCCAAGTTTCCAGATCTCCTGAGTTTATTCTCAAATTGTCAGCTCCTGAATGTTGAATATAGTGTTCTTGGGGAGTAAGGGAGGCGCTGCAGTAGTCCTTAGGGCAAGTTGTTCTTTTTTTATTTATCTTCACCAGAAGCTATGTTTATTGACTTTAGAGAGAGAGAGAGGAAGGGGGGGCGAGGAGAGAAATATCGATGTGAGAGAGAAACATTGATTGTTTGCCTCCTGTACTCGCTCCAACCAGGGATTGAACCCGCAACTTAGGTATGTGCCCTGACTGGGAATTGAATCCACTACATTTTAGTATATGGGATGATGCTCCAGCCAACTGAGCCACCTGGGCAGGGCGCAAGTTGGGTTTTATGCTCACGCTCTTGCTCTGACCTCACCAAGTGATAAGACTTGCACACAAGTTACATCATCCTTTAATGTCTGTCACCCACCAATGGCCAGGCCAAGGTGCTGGTCTAGCAGGCTGGGTAGATAGGCCGCTTTCATGAACAAACATTCCTCTGAAGCCTGGGTTTGGAAGAAACCAACTTTCCTTAGTCAGAGGAGATCATATATTTCAGTCAAAAATGTCAGTAACTTCCTCCAGGTGACGGGTTTGATGATTTTTTTCTAAGAACCTTGGAAGGAGTCCTAGGTTGGGAATGTGAGGCCCACCTTCTGTTGTCCTTGGTGGGGTGGGCCGACTGAGCCATTGGGGAATCCAGCCCTCCCCCAGCAGCTGTCAAGCTCCTGCTGCAGGGTGAGGGTGTGGGTCATATCCTTCCTGTTCTGATGTGCTTATAAGCACCGGGCTCTGGAATGTTTGGCTGAGTTGTCTTAGTTTTGAGTGGTAGACTGTTCTTTTTTGAGGAGTCTATGCTACCTGTCCCACCCTGAGATATGGTTGGGCATAGGACTTAACCTGGAGACAGAGTGCCGTTAATCTATGTAGCCATCCAACAAATCTTTTTTTAAAATGGAATTCTTTCAAGTTACCAAATAATCCATGGCCATAGCTCATTTGTACATAATTTTTTATGCACCCACAGAGAAGGCTGGAAGAATGTTTATCAAAATAATGGCATAGTTGACTCTTGGTTGTGGCATTTCAGGAGAGTTTTGCTTTTTCTTCTTATACCTTGTGATATTTAAATTTTCTACAGGTCTACATGTTCTTTGCCAACAATTGCAAAAAACACTTTGGATGGTAGATATACAGATTGTAAAAAGCCTTGATAACTACAGAAAAGTATAAAGAAGAAAATAAGTTAGTCATGGCTCTATCAGCCAGTCTGTTTTATGCAAATAAATGTACTTTCTGTAAGGAAAGGGCAGGGGAGTTGGAATGGAACTCTCTCTGGTTTGTGTTCTGCATTTTCTCCTTGTTTTCTTGCAGGCAGATACTTTCAAAGGTTGTGTAATTCGGTATTATTATAGTTAATTTTTAGCCCAGGGCCTCCAACCTTCCCGCTCAGCCAGATCTCCTTTCACATGGAGTTGACTGACCTGAAGAGGAAACCTTTAAATGCCTGTGTTGAAAAGTCACAGGGACCGTAAAGTCTGGTGTGTGAGATTAGATACTTCCAGCTAAAGGGACACCTAGTAGTATAGTTTTTCTTGAGCTCAGGAGATCGAAAACACAGCTTTCCATTTTCTACTCTTTTTTTTTTTAAGATTTTTATTTATTTATTTTTAGAGGGGAAAGGAGGGAGAAAGAGAAACATCAGTGGTGTGGTTGCCTCTCATGCGCCCCCTGCTGGGGACCCAGCCCACAACCTGGGCATGTGCCCTGACTGGGAATTGAACCAGCAACCCTTTGGTTCGCAGGCCAGCACTCAATCCACTGATCCACACCAGTCAGACCTACTCTTTGCATTTGGAAAAGAGAATGTGGTATGGGAGAGGGCACCAGGCTTGACCAGTGCTTTGATTGAACCGTGCACTTGCTGTGGGACACAAGATTGGTCTCTTCACCCCTCAGAGCCTGTCTCCTCATCTACAAATTACATATAACAGTATGTCCAGGTTACTGTGGTGAGTGGATGAGATAATGGCCAGGAAGATACAGACTTCCTTCTGGCCTGCCTAAATTTTGGGTCTTTCTTCACACCAAGGTTGCTCTGAGGGGGTGATCACATTTGAAAGGAAGAATTTTTCTTCCCTTTTTAAAATAAATATTTTATTTATTTATTCTCAGAGAGAGGGGAAGAGGGAAAGGGAGGGAGAAAGAGAGGGGGAGAAACATTGATGTGAAAGAAAAACATCAATAGGTTGCCTCTCCCACACCCCTGACCAGGGATGTGCTCACAACCCAGGCATGTGCCCCTGCCAGGGGTCGAACCATTGACCTTTCGCATTGTGGGACGACGCCCAACCAGCTGAGCTGTACTGATCAGGGCTTGTCTTCCCTTTGTATTCTTGTGGGTTTATGTGCCCCATTCTGTTCACAGAGCAGGTGCCTCCACAAGGCTATGTCACCTTCAACAGCAGTGATGAGAACCTCCTGGTAGGAGAGGGTCTCTGCTACAGGGATGTCACCTCCCCCATCAATGATCGGGATGTGGAAAGCAGCAGCAGCAGCAGCCGGGGTATGTGTGCCATTCCCACCCCACTCCACCCTACTCTGCCGGGCTGGAGGCTTTGTCAGGTTTAGGATTCCTATGTGCCTGCCCCCTGCCTGTCCTGCCAGGGCTTGGGTGCTGTGATGCATCTATGCAGTAGAGAATAAGAGAGTGAAAGACGTAGAAGGCACTGGCTCTTTTGAGGAGAGTCAAAGAATCTGGTGTGGCACAGGAGGGAAGAAGCTTCCAGCCAGTGTCTCCATGCAGGATCTGGGGGAGGTTTACCTTCTTGATTGGTGAGCCCTCAGGGAAATGTCTTTGTTAGAGCGCATGTATCATTCATTCAGCAGCTGTTCACCGAGTGCCCTGTGTGCTAAGCATTGTTCTAAATGCTTGGATTTACCAATGAACAGAACAGACAAAAATCCCCTGCCCATGTGTGTAGAGGGGAGGACACAGGCCAGGCAGTCAGCATGAAACAGAACACAGTAAACCATCTAAGGAGTTGACGAAACAGCTCAGGCTCTGGGGAGGCACTGTGAGTCTGTGAGTGAGACCTGTGGTCAGCTGTTCTTGTCTTCACCATTGTCAGAAGAGCAGGCCTTCTGTGCCCACCTTGGGGCTGTGCAGAGCAGCAGCAGCAGTGAGGGCCTGGCAAGAGCCCCAGGAATCAGCAGCGAGGCCTCTTTGGAGAGCAATGAGGTAAAGCTTCTTCTTATTTATCTCTCATCCCCCTTTCTTGGTGTCATGGGGGATGTTAAACAGTTCATTTGAGATGGGCAAGTCTCGTAACAAGGACATGCATAACTGTGCTGGCTAGGACATGCAGGGTCCAGGGCCCCCCTCCGGAGAACCACCTGGGTTCAGGTGACCTCAGTGGTAGCCTCTGTGTGGCAGGTGGGGGCAGTTTCAGACCTTACCCACTCTGTGAGGACAGTGGCACAGATTGCGTAGAAGCTGAGTGGCCCAGATGAAGGGCAGAGAGCAGTTTGGATGTAGCCATGTCAGCTGTGAGACCGTCAGCATTTGTTTTATTTTTATCCTCACACAAGTACTTTTTTAATTTCTTGTTTTGGAGAGGAAGGGGGAGAGAGAGAGAAAGAGAAACATTGATTGGTTGCCTCCCATTTGTGCCCCTGACCAGTGATCAAATCTGCAACCCAGACATGTGCCTTGACCAGGGATTGAACCTGCAACCTTTTGGTGCTCAGGATGATGTTCCAACCAACTGAGCCATACTGGCCAGGGCTGTGTTACTTTATTTTTTGAGCAGTTCTCTTGTGGATGTTTGGTTTGGGGTTTTATTTTTTTGTAAGGGATTTGTCCAAGGTTTCACAACTGATTAGTAACAGAGCTGGGATGTAAAACCAGTTTTGGCTGACCCCAAAGCTCATGGACTCTTCCTCTACACGTTATTATTCCCATCCCCCCACCCACATCCCCTTTGGTAGTCATCAGCTTGTTCTCTGTATCTGTGGGTTTCTTTTTGTTTTGTTTTTTGGGAATTCATACATAAGTGAAATCATGTGGTATGCCTTTCTCTGATTTATTTCACTTAAAGTCATACCCTCTAGGTCCATCCATGTCGTTGCATATAGCGAGACTTCAGTCTTTTTTATTGCTGAATAAGAATACTACTTCATTATATATATGTACCATGTCCTGTTTATCCATTTATCTGCTGAACACCTAGGTTGCTTCCATATATCGGCTATTTATTAGTGATGCTGCAGTGACAATGGGGTGCATCTATCTTTTCAGATTAGTTTTTGTTTTCTTCTGATAAATAGAATGTGTAATTGTTAGATCATATGGCAGCACAATTTTTCATTTTTTTAGGAATCTCCATACTGTTTTCCATGGTGGCTACACCAATTTACAGTCCCCTCCCTACCAGGGCACGAGGGTTCCCTTTCCTCCACCTCTTCACCCACATTTGCTATTTGTTAGTTTATTGATGACAGTCATTCTGACAGGTGTCAGATACCTCATGGTGGTTTTAGTTTGTATTTCCCTGGTGATTAGTCTTTCAGTGTTAACTTTAAACACACACCTCTTGCCATAGGATTCAGATAATGCACATAAAAGCTCGGTTCGCAAACAAACGAAAACTTACATGAAGACCAAGAATCGCCACAGCAACAGTGAAAACCAGTGGCCTCCCAGCACAGGGACGTCCGGGACAGCCTATTCACCAGGATCTACCTCCCAGACTGAGAGGTTTCCCTATTCAGGACCCCAGGTAAGATCATCTGTGAAACTGGTGGTTACATCATTAGAAAGATTGTGCTTCTTGTGATTTGTGAGGGCTTTACTGTGCACTTATGATGGGCTAGGCACTGTTGAGAGAAGAGAGTGGTGGTGGCTTTCCCCAAAATGATCTGTAAAGCTTTTCGGGCTGAGAGATTCCTAAGGTTGGAGGTGCCAGTTGCAGGGTTTGTGTCTGTCCCTTCCCACAGGAGGGATCTGTCTCTGCCCTTGGTGACCATACTCGTTTCCATACTTGACTCAGTCTCCCTGAGCCTGGGGAGGAAAAAATAGGACTGATCTCATAGAGCTGCTTTCAGGAGTCAGTGACAAGATGTAGGTGAAGCAGAGACAAAGTGGCACATAGTATGCACTTCATGAAAAATGCTGTTTCTGGCCCTAGCCAGGTAGCTCAGTTGGTTAGAGCATCATGGCGATACACCCGGGTTGCAGATTTGATCCCTGGTCAGGGCACATACCAGAATCGACCAATGAATGCATGAATATGTAGAGCAAAAATGGATGTCTCTCTCTCTCGCTCTGCAATCTAATCAGTAAATATTATTTTTTAAAAAAGAAAGAAAAATTGCTGTTTCTGCCTTCCTCATTAAGGGTCACTCTGGCTAATCAATTTCTTAGGGCTTACAGGTATGACGTAGCAGCAACTCAACTGTCCATTGTGTGTTGAGCTCTCTTGCCCTCTTTGGGCATATATGGTACAAAGATGAAAGACAGAGAGGTATGTACTTGCCATTTATTTGTTCAAATCACAGCTCTGCTGTTTACTAGAAGCCTATGATTTTGCTGGCTTCTCCTTGCAGTCACCTCTCCCCACCCCATCCCTGGAAGGGCCTATACTCCCAGCTTCCACAAGCAGCTGCACCTCTTGAGCCCTTAAATGCTAGGGTAGCTGAGACAGTCACTGGAGAGGGGAGAGCAGAGCTTTCAAAGTTACAGCCTCAAAGAATTCGCATTACTAGACCTATCTGATGGTTCCCTGGAAGACACACTTATAAGGCTGTATTTGACTTGACTCAGAGCTTGTGTGCTCAACATCAAAAGCCTTCTCCTTGGAGGACATGTGTCGAAAATAATGACAGGGAAACATTTTAACTTTGTAGCTATCTGAGGTATTGGATAAAAGTTGGAGTATAAAGATTAATCACAAAGCTTAAAAGGAAAGACTGGGGAAGGAAATGTCCATGGGAGCTTTGAAAAGCTCTAACTCATTCCTGGGAGTCTAAGAGGCCACGTACATGCTCAAGGCTGTGTGTATGGTCAGGAAAGACCTGAGAATACCTCTGATGGTCTTGAGGCTTTGAGCAAGCAGGAAGCAAAGGTCAGGACAGAGTTGTCGTTCCGCTGGCTGAGTGTTGAAGATGTGCCCAACGAGCATACAAAGTTATTTGGCAAAGACTGGGAAATGGGTTCCAGTGATTAAAGAAATCTCTGTCCGACCACTAAGCTAACTGAGTAGAGACTTCAGTGGCCACAGACCAGAAAGAATACAGACAGTAACCCCTGGAGAGGGAGGAGAATTGGATCTCCAGAGTTGCTGCATTAAAATGTCCGGTTTTACACACACACACACACACACACACACACACACACAAAATGATAGAAAACAAGAAAATGTGGCTCATAGATTATAAGAAAAGGCAGTAATAGTAGAAGCCATCCCTGAGGAAGCCTAGACAGTGGGCTTATTTTCAATTTTTAAATTTGAAGATTTTTCAATTTTTAAAATTTACTTATTGAATGTATTGGGGTGACATTGGTTAATAAAGTTAAGTAGGTTTCAGGTGTACAATTTTATAATACGTCATCTGTATATTGTATTGTGTGTTCACCACCCCATCATAGACAAAGACTTTAAACAAGCTTTTACAAACATGTTCCAAGAGTTAAAGGAAATCACATCTAAATAGAGAACATCAAGAAAGTAATAGAAATAAAACGAACCAAATAGAAATTCTGGAGTTGAAAAGTTTACATAAAAACTGAAATGAAAATTTCACTAGAGGGGCTAAAGACCACATTTGAGCATGCAGAAGAAAGTCAGAAAACCTGACAGATCAATTGAGATTATCCAGTTTGAGAATCTGAAAGAAGATTGAAATGAAGAAACATAAACAGAAACCTGTGCAACACTGTCAAGCATACCAGCATGTACATATGGTGCTCCAGAAGAAGAGGGAGTGGAAATCAGGAAAAAAATGTCTTTTTTATTATTGTATTTTATTGATTATGCTATTACGGTTGTCATGATTTTTCTCCCTCTGCCCCTCCCACTCAGCACTCCCCAATCCCCCAGGCAATCCCCACACCATTGTTCATGTCCACGTGTCATGCGTATAAATTCTTGACTACTCCATTTCCTATACTGTACCTCACATCCCCATGGCTGTCCTGTAACCACCTATTTGTACTTCTTAATCCCCTCACCTCTTCACCCATTCCCCTACACCCCCTTCCCATCTGGCAGCCATCAAAACACTCTCCATATCCATGATTCTATCTCTGTTCTTCTTGTGTGCTTAGTTTGTTTTTTAGATTAAATTATTGATAGATATGTATTTTGTCATTTTATTGTTCATAGTTTTGATCATCTTCTTTTTCTTAAGTAATTCCTTTTAACATTTCATATAGCCATGGCTGGTGTGGCTCAGTGGATTGATTACCGACCTGTGAACCAAACAGTTGCTAGAATGATTCCTAGTCAGGGCACATGCCTGGGTTGCAGGCCAGGTCCTCAGTAGGGGATGCTCAAGAGGCAACCACATATTGATGTTTTCCTCCTTCTCTCCCTACCTTTTCCTCTCTCTAAAAATAAATAAAATCTTTAAAAAAAACATTTCATATAAAAATGGTTTGGTGATGATGAACTTTAGTTTTTTCTTGTGTGGGAAGCTCTTTATCTGCCCTTTGATTCTAAACAATAGCTTTGCTGGGTAGAGCAATCTTTGCTGTAGGTCCCTGCTTTTCATGACTTTGAATATTTCTTGCCAATCTCTTCTGGCCTGCAGTTTCTTTTGAGAAATCAACTGACAGTCTTATGGAAGCTCCCCTTTAGGTAACTAACTTTTCTCTTGCTGCTTTTAAGATTCACTCTTTGTCTTTAACCTTTGGCATTTTAATTATAATGCGTCTTGGAGTGGGCCTCTTTGAGTTCATCTTGCTTGAGCCTCTCTGTGCTTACTGGACTTGTATGTCTATTTCCTTCACCTCATTAGGGAAGTTTTCTTCCATTATTTCTTCAAATAGGTTTCCAAATTCTTTTTCTCTCTTTTCCTTCTGGCACTTCTATGATGTGAATATTGAAACACTTGAAGTTGTCCCAAAGGCTCCTTACACTAGCCTCATTTTTTTTGGATTCTTTTTTCCTTCTTGCTGTTCTGATTGCTTGTTGTTTGCTTCCTTATGTCCCAAATCTCTGATTTGATTCTCACCTTCATCCACACTACTTTTGTTTCCCTGTAAATTGTTCTTTCTTTCAATTAGTGTATCCTTCGCTTCTGACCAGATCTTTTTTATGCTGCTGAAGTCCTTACTAAGTTCCTTGAGCATCCTTGTAACCAGTGTTTTGAACTCTGCATTTGATAGATTGCTTATCTCCATTTCATTTAGCTTTTTCTAGAGTTTTGATGTATTGTTTCATTTGGGCCGTTTCTTTGTCTCCTCATTTTAGCAACCTCCTTGTGTTTGTTTCTATGTCTTAGGTAGAGCTGCTTTGATTCTGTATCTTGGTAGAGTGGCCTAATGTAGTAGGTGTCCTGTAGGGTACAGTGGTACAGCCTCCCCTATCACTCAAGCTGGGAACTCGAGGTGTGCCCTTCATGTGGGCCGCATACACCCTTCCCTTATAGTTCAGCCTTGGTTGCTGTTGGCAGATCAATGGAAAGGATTTACTCAGGCCAGTCAGCTGCAAAGATTGGCTGTGACCACTGACCACCAACCTCCACCCTCTGTGGAGGATCAGCCGTGCAGGTGCAAGGTGGTGGTGCTCCAGTGTGGTCTGTAGCTGTCCACTGGGGTCACTGGCCCTGGGTCTTCCCAGGTGGCGCAGGCCAAGGTCAGCCCCCACCTGTTTTTGGGGGGGGGGGTTTGGCCTGGGACACAGTGCCTGAGCTATAAAGCAGTCTGAGATGTCTGCTACTTGTGCTAGGCTTGAAGATTCCTAGAAGCCAAGCTGTGAATCTAGGTTGGTTGCTGTTAGTGCTGGGCCCTGGGGCTCACTGAGGCCAGCTCTCACTTATTTGAGAGGATTTAGGAAGTTGTGCAGGACAAGCCAAGACCAGGCATTCATTTATGGAAAACAAGCTTGGGTGGGCCCATAAGTTGGGTGGAGCAGAGTCTCTGGGCATCTCCCAGGCAGGTCATACTGTTAGCCAGGTTGGTAGACTCTCAGATATGAGTCCAGCTTGCCAGTTCTGTCGCTCTGTTGTGGTAGTACTTAGAAAAGGGACAATGGCCTCTGCTCACCTTGATGCCAGACATTCCAGTTTCTCCCTGTAAGCCAGTGGTGTCTTTCAAGCTGCCACCCCAGTGTGGTGCTTAAGCTCAAAGGGAGTGAGTCAGACTAGATGAGTCCATGTGTGTGTTCTTTAAGAGGAACTTCTTGGGGCTCCATTAGTTTTTTCCAACTCAGTCCCTGCTGGTTTTTACAGCTAGAAGTTATAGAGACTTATCTTCCTGGCACTGGAACCCTGGGCTGGGGGGCCTGGTGTGGGGCTGGGACTCCTCACTCCTGAGATATCCCTCCCAAATTTTTATCCACCACACATGGGTGTAGGACCAGACTATTCTTTGTCTTTACCCCTCCTACCACTCTGGATAGATGTGGTTTCTTTAATTCCGTAGTTTTCAGACTTCCATTCTGGATTTCTGATAGTTCTGAGTGATGGCTGTTCTATATATTTGGTGTAATTATGATGTGGTTGTGGGAAGTGGTGAGCCATGTCTGCCTATGCTGGTATATTTACCAGAAGTCTAGAAAAAATATCTTAAAAATAGCCAAACCTTCCCAAATTTAATTGGGGAAAAAATGAATCTGCACATCCAAAAAGCTAAATGTACTCTAAGTAGTTAAACTCAGATCCACACCTCGACATAACATAATCCAACTGTCAAAAAAAACAAAAACAAAACAAAACAAAAAAACCACAAGAGAATCTTGAAGAAAGAAAGAGAAGTAAGTGACTTATCACCCACAAAGGAACCTAAATAAGATTAAGTTAATTTTCTTATCAGAAACCTTAGAGGCCAGAAAGACATTTGATGATAGATTCAAAATAATGAAAGAAAAGTAACTCAACCAAGAATGCCATATCTAGCAAAAAACTGTCTTTCAAAAGTGAAGGAAAAAGTAAGACAGTACCAGGTAAACAAAGATGAAATGAATCTGTTGTTAGCAGACCTGCTGTATAAAAAATACTAAAGGTATATTTCAGGCTGAAATGAAAAGATAGTAGTTCCAAAGCACAAATAGATGGAAGGTTCTCTGGACTTCCTGCTCTGGCTAAGGGCACAGATCGAGGAGGGGGCAGCTTGGGCTCTTTGCAGTCAGGTCACTGTCCTGCTGCTGAACTTGGGGAATCAGCAGGGCTCAGATCTCCCCCTTAAAAGCAACCTCACAAATATACTCCTAGCAGAAGAAAATGGGCTCCTCGTTGCATTGTGTGCCATTTTTTGTCCCCATGTCTTTGTGCCACCACCCATCCTCTGACCTGGCCTCTCTGCCCTCTAGGACCTTGCCACACTGCTAGAACAGATCGGGTGTCTGAAGTACCTGCAGCTGTTCGAGGAACAGGATGTGGACCTTCGAATCTTCCTAACCCTCACTGAGAGCGACCTAAAGGAAATTGGTGTCACGTGAGTCCAGAGGGGCCATCCGTGGCTGCATGCCCCTTGTTTCAGCCCAAGTTCTGGGACCAGTTGATGTTGTAGCTTTCCAACTTTGGCTAGAAAAAAGTGCCTTCTCTAGAGGTCTGCCTTCTTCCTGTAGTCAGCTGTCCTCTCTCCATTCCTACCCTGCTCCTGGCCTAGATGCAGATGGCCTGGGTCCTATGGCTTCCAAAGCTGGCCCAGCTGACACTGATGTGTTCAGGGCACCCAGATATTTTCTGCCTGCTCACTTCTGAGAGCCTTCTGAGTTAGCAGACCGTCATCCATAGCCTAGAGCCAATGAGCTGAGTTCCCTATTTAGTGAAAGCAGCAGCCCAGCTGGGAAGGAGACCAGGTGGAGATCGGGTTGAGGGGGGAGGAGCAGCCTCCTATGAGGTCATCACTTCTTGCAACCCTTTGTTTCTGTCCGCTGTAGGATCCTGGGACCATTCTCCCTCTTCAAGGCTAGGATCTCTCCTAGGGGAACCATCTTGATGGAAGGAGCTTCCAGCACATGGCAAATGCTGATCTGAGTCCTTTTCCCATTCCTCCTGCAGATTGTTTGGACCCAAGAGGAAGATGACTTCTGCCATTGCCCGCTGGCACAGCAGTGCCCGCCCCCCCAGTGATGCCCTGGAGCTGGCCTATGCCGACAGGCTGGAAGCTGAGATGCAGGAGCTTGCCATCCAGCTGCACAAAGTAGGTGGGAGAGCAGGGGAGGGGATGTGCAGAAATGGCAAGAGAGATGTCTGGAGATACGTACCTATGGAGGAAGACACAGTGGGATGATAGGACAGTAAAGGCCGAGAGCATTACAGCTCCTACCCTGAAGGCTGAAAGATATGGGACATTAGGCAGAAAGTCAGATACACACAGGAGAGTAGAGATAGGGTGAGGGCAGAGATCAAGAGGGTGGTGTGGATACCAGAGGGTTCACAGGAAGGGATCCAAAGGAGAGACTCCAAGGTAGAGACAGGCCATCTCATTCCAGGAGGGACAGGCAGAGGCCGAGGGTGGGGTGGATCCTCGTGTCTGGTGGCCTCCTGTCTCCTGCATCTTTGGCCCACTTGCCTGCCTGCCAGCCCCACCTCCCACCTCTCCCTCTCCAGCGCTGTGAGGAGGTGGAGGCCATGAAGGGCCAGGTGTCCCAGGAGCAGGAGCTGCGGGCTGTGGTGGAGAGCTGCCTCCTGGAACAGGATGGCACCCGCAAGGACGTCTTTGCCCAGCTGCAGGAGACCTGGGCCCTGGCTCGGGACGCTGCTCTCATCCTAGACCAGCTGCGGTGAGTAGGCCCCTGAGCTGGCCCCGAGTTCGCTCCAGATTCTTAACCAAGGACTTGCTTTCAGGGCTTCCTGAGGTCACTCTCTGCTGCCCCCCTTCCCCTATTTCATTTGGGTTGTTCCTGTGGGGTAGACCAGGCAGAAGTAGGACCCTGAAAATCTGCATACTCTATGCAAGCTCTCTGCCCAGAGAGCCTGTCAGTGTGGGCAGGTGCCTGGGGTGCTTGCCAAGCCCAGGAAGGTGGGCTGCAGGGACAGAGCAGGGCTCTGCCTTTCAGTCAGGGAGGTGGGGGTGTCTGTCATCCCTTGCCCTCACCAGCACTTGGTCTTGTGTCCTGCAGAGCCTGTCAGGCTGAGCTGTCAGCCCGAGTGAGGCGAGACGAGTTCCCTCTCGGGGCCACCCTGGGCCCAGCCTTCCCCACAGCTGGTAAGGAGAGCAGTGTCCTGGCCCAGGACTGGGCAGAAATGCCTCCTCAGGCTGGGTTTTACTACTTGTCTCAGCACTTACCACATTTAGACTCCCAAACCCCTGTAAATACAATCCCAGACTCCAGGGTGAGGGCAACCCTGCCCTCCCCAGCTCATTTCCTTCCTGTCCCTGCTGATGGTGGGAGGCAATGCCTTTGGGCTGTGGCTGACTATTCTGTCCGAGATCTCAAGTGATTTCTCCAGCCTCCAGTTTGAGTCTGGCCTGGACTTGCAGACCCCAGGGCACAGCCTCACGGGAGGGTTTCATTCCTGGGGCTGGGCCCTGACCAGTAGTTAGTGCTTTGGTCAGCAAGCAGAACACATTTTGATGTAACAAGGGGGCCACACAGGCACTGACAGCTGTGTGGGTCTCCTGGTCACAGCGGCTCAGCAGAGGCAGGGCTTGTGTGCACACAGACCACAGGCTCACCCAGCCCTGCCCCACAGATTCCAAAGACTGGCAGGCCTCCCTGCAAGCCCTGAGCCTCCCTGAACTGTCACAAGCATTGGAGGATCGAGTCCATGAGATGGGTGAGTCTCTGGGAGGCCAGCCAATGACCCTCACCCCCACCCAGGGACCAGACTCAGAGTAACGGGAAAAGCCTGGTCAGCTCAGACCCCTAGGGCAGCTCCCCTACAACCTACTGATCCTCCAGGTAATCCACTCCTAGTGGTCCCCCTCACAGGGCTCCCCTTCTTCCACTGCTGCCCAGACGTGCAGTCTCTGTTCCCATCCGCAGGGCGAGTGCTGTGCTCCGTGACCCAGGGCCTGGAGAAGCTGCAGGTGCTGAATGGGAAAGAGAACTGGCGGGAACCTTAGCTTGAGGGACGGTGAGTGTCAACCAGCCCATGATCCAGTCTGGGACAGCAGCGTCCACTGGAAGCTGAGCGAGCACCCACTTTAGTCCTCTGTTTCCCTTCTCAGAATCTGACGTTGGGTGACTGATCCACCCTGAAGCTGTGTGCCCGGAAAACAGGAGGGCAGTGAGCAGGCAGTTGCAGCAGCCTGGGCCCCACTCGAGGCCAGAGGATCAGCCCCCGGGAACAGCTAGCGGAGGCAGGACCGGGCTGTGGCCCGTGCCAGACAGCAAGGCCCCTGTGGTGGCAAGACGAGGGCCTCGTCCAGAAGGTGGTGGTAAGGCCCAGAGCAGACAGGACCTTGGGGAGAGAGCGTGTCCCCATGTACCACAGGCACACACTCAAGTTTGCCCTGATGGGTGATAACTGGGGCACCTGGGCAGCATATGTCATTTGCTGGAAAATAAAATTTAAGATCAGCTGGTAAGGGGCTCAATTCTGGTCACACTTCATACAGTACTGACTGACAGCAAAACAAGGGGAAAGTCATGCCAAGACCCCCCAGCCCCAGTGACCTGCCGGGGCCCAGGCCTCCTCTTCCAGGACAGAGAACACTGTTCTTAGTGCAGATGATTTGGTGACCCCTCCTACTCATTGTCCCTGCAGCTAGGCCACTATTGCTCAGACTCCTGTGATTCAAAAGAAGCTACCTACAGAGCCAAGCATGCCCCCACACCCCAGGAAATAAAGAAGAGCAAGATACAAGTGTTTTATTTACAGAGTGAAGTACCTTTGCCCACAGTGGCTGCTTCATCAAGGCTCTAAGATAGAACAGATACCCAGGCTGGGCTGGGAGCACCACTTTCCTTAGCAGGCTGGGCAGGCACTGTAGAAATTGTCCCATAGCTTTGCTAAGTTTTGCCAGACATAGGCCCCTAGGAGACCTCTAGTGGTGACCTCGCCTGTGATGGCTCTGCTGTTGTCATTCAGAGGGTATTTCCAAACCATCCCCAGGAGCTGCCTGCAGACCACATTGGGAGTGGAGAAAAGGAGGCTTTCAAAGCACAGTAAAGAACAGCAGGCTCAACCCAGGTATAGCCAAAGCCACCAGGATCAGAAAAGGAGCATCTTGTGGACAGTCTCAGCAAAGAAGCCCCAGATCAAGTTCATAGCCCAGAGAGATCCATGGCTGATAGTTCCGCACTTAAGCAGGGAGGTAGACAGCAACACCCACCCCCACGCCCTGAGGTAGGGGGCCAGTGGCAGCTTGACTCTGAGTGGTGCCCAGTGCTCTTGGACCTGGCTCTGTCCTTAAGTCTCCAGGTAGTGGGGAAAGGAAGGAGACATCCTCCTGCACCTGGCCTTGGGCCTGCAGTCAAGACCAAAGGACAGAACAGCAGAGGAGCCACTTCACTGCCCTTCAGTAACTCCATTTACAGCTGGGCCTACGATCCTGTCTTTGGGAACCAAGTCCCAGTGGGGTCAAGTGGTTTTGAAGCCTCACCCATAGTTCACACAACACAGAAAAGGAAATCTAACCAAGTAAAGTGAACAGTCAAAATTAACTGTACAACATCTTACCCAAGCTGGCTCTTCTCTAGGTCCTGGACTAGCACAGAGGGCAGTAAAAGGAGTGAGTCCACTGAGAAAGGCATCCTCCATGAGAACCGACTTCTCACTGGTCTGTGTGTGTGCACCTACCCACTTGGGAAATCGGGTGGTAACTGGGCCACCACCAGCCCGAGAGACTCTAAAAGAGACAGGTTTAAGCCTCAAGGTGGGTGAGAATGTCCTGAGCCTAGACAGCCAGGTCCAGCACCCCCAGGCCACCCACTGACCAACCTGAGGTCACAGCAGGCCCTGTCACTGCTCAAGACAGTGGAGATGATGAGATGCCCACTTGCCCCACGCAGTAAGCAAGGGTTACACACACAGAAACATTAGAAGACACACTCCTACAGGATTTCAGGGCCCAGTCTCAGCCATGGGCACAGAGCCGGGAAAGGGTGAAGACACATGGTACAGGAGCAACCTCAGGAGGAAGATGGGAGCAGCTTCTCCAGAGCTTTCTTCTGCTTCTCAGTGGCTGCAGCAACAGCTTCAGCCAGCTTCTCCTCAGGCATCATATTGAGCACCTTGAGGGCGAAGAGGAGCTGGTACTTAGCTGTGCTGATGAAGGCATTGCTCAGGAAGTTGGGAAAGCCACCAACTCGATCCTTCTGGGTATACAGTGGGACTCGCACAAGCCCCAGCACCTGCAGAAAAAGGAGACCAGGGTTGGGGCCAGACCCGCACACCAATAGTACAGCCCTGGTAGGAGGGACCTGTATGAGCTGCTAGACCAGGGGAACGGAAGCCAGGTTGCCAAGGCAAATGGAAGACTATGGCAGGGTCTGGTGAGGCAGAAGCCAGCCAGCTTCTTTGGAGCAGTGCAGCCCTCTCCTCCCAAAGCAAGTTTCAAGGCCACCTCATGCATTTCCCACTTTCTGCATCCTCTAGTTCCAGCCCCAAGTTCACTGGCAGGAAGCCCCCTAGCCTGCACGGCATGCTCCCCATTCCAGCAGGTGAATCCCAAACACACCAGTTATCACTCCTAGCCCTTCCAGACCATAACACCCACAAATCACAAGAGTCTTAAACACCAAGAGAACTCGACCTCCTTCATCTCAGCCCTGCAAGTGCTCTTCTGCTCTTGAATTTCTCACCACCTTGAGCAGGTCCCATTCCATCCCATCCCAACTAATCCCATGCCCGACTCCCAGGATTGGCAATGGCAGGCAGCAAGGCAGATATAACAGCCCGGAGGGAGACCCAGCCTTCCACCCTCAGGTCCCTCTTCCCAACCCCGATGCTGGAGACAGTGACACCCCACCCAACCTGGCCAGGGGACCCTCAGGGGGACGCGTTACCCATCGTTGCAGGGCCAGAGCCAAACCCCGGGGTGGGGGGCGGGGCCCAGGCAGCGGCCCCACCTCCAGGCCGTGGTCCCGCGAGTGCACAGCGCTTATCTCCACAGCGTGCAGCTGCTCCAGCGTTAGCTGCCGTGCATACAGGTGCGCCACGACGCGGTGCGGCCCCTCGGTGAGGTGTGAACTCAGATAGTCAGCCTCGGTGAGGCGCAGGCAGCCCAGGCCCAGATCCAGCACCCGGTTCAGTCCATCCTCCAGTGACCAGAAGCGCCGGTCCACGAAGCCGCCGGGGAAGCCCAGCAGCCCGTCAAAGCGCATCTGCATCTGCAAGGGAGCCCCGGGTCACGGGCGCAGGTACGGACAGCGCCCTGGCCACCATCCGCCCGCCCACGTCCTCACCAGCACCGAGAAGCGCATGGGGATGCGGCCGAAAAGCTGCCCGGGGTTGGCGGCATACAGCATCGCGTGGCAAGAGTGGCTCCAGCCCGGCCCCAGGCGCATTGCCTCCACCCGGCTAATCTGCTTCAGCTCCGGCACCGCTGCCGACATCTTGGCACTGCCCATGTAGCCAGAGTACCTGCCCTTGAGTGATGGTGCTGGCCCGCCCCCGTTGCACCTGACCAATCCACGGGCAGCCTCGTTCCGTCCGCCAATTGCTAACACCCGTCAGGAGAGTCCACCGCGACTAGTCGTTAAGAGCAAAGGGCGGGTGCAAAGGAAGGAACACAGTGCTCTCCAGACTGCACCCAATAGCCGCAAACTCTGAGCACCGGTGCAGCCAGTGACAATCAGGATGCAACGTGCCCACCTCTCTCTCTCTCTTGGCGGAGCCTAGCTTGACCCCAGGGCAAAACTCAGGACTGGCTTCAGGCAAGTCGCGCGGGGGCGCCTGCAGGGTGGAGAGGGTGAAAGACTCGGGGCTCAGACTGCCAGTCCGAATGAGAGCAGCAGGAGCTCCCAAAATCGTATCGCCCTTGGCGGGACCGAGTCGCGAGCCTTCCCCCAGCACTTCTTTGGACACGTGGGCGCCCCCTGCCTGCTCCAGGAGGGCTCAGCGGAGCCCTGCAACGGGAGGGCACAACCTGCTAAGCACTCCAATCCAGGTCGCTGATGGTCTGCCTGACTCGGTAACAGCATGAAAAAAGGGCCTGGTGAAGCTCCAGCTGCCCGACATTCTGGGTCCACGCTCAGTCCTGGACAGGGTAGATGGCGAGAAGCCCTGGCGCTCCCTACACCCAGTCTGCTGGGGCTAAAGGGACAAGTCCCGGGCTGGGAGCTTCCACGCCCAGTGCCGCAAGTATCTTCCACACATCAGGCACCACATGCCAGGTACTGTTGGAGAAAACGGGATCTCCCCAGTTTCCCGAAGAGGACCCTGGGCTCATAGGGGCAGGACTTGCCTAAGGGCGCTCCACAGTTGGTGACAGAGCCAGGATCCCAGATTCCCACCTTGTCTCTTACCCAGTGTCCACAGAAGAAAACCTCCTGCCTTTTGCTGCAGGGTACTAACCCCATGTTTGTGCAGAAGGAAATCGGGAAATATTGCGCTGGGGTTCCTGAGTCCTGGTGCCACTCACTCCACCAGCTGGCCCAAGCTCCATTTGCCTACCCACGGCGGGCATGGATAGGCTTAGTGAAGAAACTCAAGACTGGTGCCACCGGCACAGCCTTGGGGGAGCCATGCAATGAGGTCAAGGTCTGTGGCACAGGGAAAGCTGCCCTGAGCAGAGGTGAGTGAGGGGAGAGTGGGCAGAGGGCAGACAAGGGTTGGTGCGATCCACCAGAAACACATTTGGTCCATGTTGTGCTGTCAGGATATGTGGGTAATAAGGACCCAAAGAGGGCTTTCTTCCCGCAATATGGCCCTCTGCCAGAGTCAGGGCTCAGAGGGGTAACTGAAGCTGAGGAGAGGCGGCCAGGTCCCAGGGCAAGTAACTTTGAAGGGGAAAGGCTCACCCAGAGAGGGCCCTATCTCCAGGCTGCAGGGCATGACCTGAGCCCAAGGCCGGTGTGAGGCAGGGGGCACAGAAGAATGGCACCCTGTGCCCAACCCCTCCCTGACACCAGACATTGATGAAAGAGGTGGGTCCATTTGGGGGAATGGAGGAGAGAGATCCAGTGTAGCTGAGCACTTTTCTACCCACACTGGGACCATGCCAGACCCAGGAGCAACGAAAGGTGGCAGTCCTTCCTTGGGGCAGGGACTGACCAGCCAAGAACACTGGTTCCACTCTTGAATGTGAGTTAGAGGCCTGTGGAGGCAACTTGGAACTGTGTTTGCAACGAAGCTGGGGGCCCTGCTTGACAGGGCGGGTACAAACAGTGCTTCCTATGCATCTGAGGGCACCAGCTTCTCCCTACTGTGAAACCACTCCCTGGGCAGGGAAACTTGAGCCAAGCAGCACTCCGGCATCATGGCAGCCAAACCTGCCCCTCTAATCCATTCTCCACATGACATCTGGAGTGAATCACTCCCTTTCTTAAAAACCTCTGTTCTTAGAAAACTACCCCTACAAGGTCTTGCAATGTCTGCACGTCTCTCAATCCCAACACTCTGAGCCACTCTCGTTTCTTTCCTCTCAGTGGACACCCTAGATTCACTCCTGACTCCACGCCTTTGCACTTGCTGTGCCAGCCACCTGGGGTGCTCTTCCAGACCACAGGTTAAATTAAGTCCCCCATGTGACTCCATCTTATCACCTGTTGACTCTGGGAAGATGAGAATTTACTTGTACAGAGTCTCACTGACTAGAACACAAACTCCCACGCACCTGGACCTTGCCCATCTTGCCTTTTGCTGACACACAGTAGGTGCTCAGGCAACATCTGTAGGGTGAATCAGCAACTCAGATGGGGACACTGTAGCAGCCCCTCAAAACCCTGGAGGCCCTGGGTTCCTTCTCCATCAGCCCAGAAGACTGAGCCAAACCCCCAAGGACCATTCAATCCAACCCAAGAATCAGCACAATAGCCACAAGAGTAACCAGCACCATCATACATGGTGTCCCTCACTCCCTCCTGGAGTCAGACCTCACTGATGTAGAAGTACTGCCTCCTGATCAAGAAACAACTGAGGCCCTGCAGTGCTATGCACAGAGAAAGGAGTGGACAAGATAATGCTGCATGATTTTATTACTATAAATATACAGTAAAAACGAACAAAAACTAGCCCATCAGAATACATCAAATGATAGCGTGTGTTAAGTCCCAGACAGGGCAGTCTGCATCCTGTCCTTCAGAGTGCTGGCACCAATACCGCTGGCGAGAGGCCAGGGTGCTGGTGGGTGATGAGGGGAATAGGAGAGAGATGGCCAGCTTGTGTGTGTGCTGGTGTGCACCAATTAGCACACTAGCAGGTGGGAGGGGAGGCTAGACAGCCAAGCGGCCAGGGAAGGTGGCCTGAGCGTGGCCAAGAGCTGTGCGTAAGGCAGTGCTCTGCTCAGGCCCAACTGGAGAGAGAACGAGGACCCCACTGGACAAAGCCCCCAGTTGTGCAGATGCCCTGTAGACAGCTGCTGGCCACCCCAGAACCAGAACCATCATGCTTCCCAGGGCAGCTCCTCATAAAGTGAGCTCCTCTGCAAACCCCAATCCCAGGGTGGGGAGCTGCACAGACCCACTCACACACCAGGCCAAGGTCCCTGGCTGAGGCAGCTTGTGCCCTGCTGCACCAGAGTTGGGTACCCCCTCTGCCTTTTTGTTGTGTGGGTAATTTATCGTTTAAAAAAAAATGAGGCCAACTCCCCCAAGCAGGTCCCACCACAGGAGTCCCAGACCAAACAAATCAAAGAGAAACACAAAGTGACATTTAAATGGCACAGAGGGAGCAGAAAAGTTGCTCGAGTCCCTCCAGGGGTGGGTGGTCTGGCCAAGTAAGGCCCTCCACCTGAAGGAGGTCTGAGGATATGTGCAAAGCCACCTCTGAGAAGGTGCAGGGCTTGGAGAGGGGCCACTAGACCAACTGCTGCCAATAGGCTGTGCACCTGCACCTCTGCCCTAGACAGACTCAGACCTGGCCGGAGTGCAGAAACCTGGGTGGCGCAGAGGGCAGGGCTGCAGGGAAGGGCTGTGAGCTATCGGAGGCAGACCCACACCGAAGGGCCTGAACAGGAAGGGGAAGTAACACAGGGCACAAAGCAGTAGTGCCAGCCAGGCCACGCACATGGGGTAGGGGACAGGCACCATTTCCTTCATTGACCGTGACTCAGATCCCACTTCCTTTCCTTCCCTGACAACAAGCACCCCAGTACTAATTCCTGTGAAGACGGTACTTCACCCACCAATTTGTTGAGTTCTCAGGGTGTTAACCCCCCACTGGCTGGGGGGTTGGATAAAGCCGATCTGGGACATGTGGGCGGCTAGCCCCCAGCCCCAGCTACTCAGCTGACAAGGCAATTGGGGGAGCTCCAGAGCTCAGTGCCTGAGACAGAAAGGCGCCGTCCTTCATCCGGTACCATTCACAAATATGGAGACCACAGAAAAAAAGGTTTGTCAGAGGGAACAGTCCACTGTGCTCTTCAGTCAAGAGGTGCAGGGCCCTTCAGAGTTGTGGCTGTGATGGGTGTGCACACAGGAGAGGCCAGGAATCTCACTGGGGTCCAGACAGCTCCTCAGCAAAGTCCAGGAAGCTGAGGGCTCCATGCTGCCAGCCTGGCCAGGCTCTCAGAGTGGAGTCAGGTCAGTGGCCCCGATGTCACAATTGAGGCCACCAAGCAGAGGCCGGGTGGGGCCAGTGGTGAGGAGGCTTCAGGGCATCTCCATGGAAGTGGACCATCCTGCAGGCGGGAGCAGATGGAAGAGGGTCAGGCTAAGTCTACTGTCTCAACTGCTCCCTTCACCCACCAGGCTCTGGGTTCCCACCAACTACAAAACCTGGAGGGCAGGGCCACCCAGCATCCTCCACTGCATACGCGTCTGTGGTGGACCACAGAGAGGACCGGGGACTCCGGCCATGGGTGAACGGTCAGGGTGCCGGCAGCAGCTGCATCCATGCAACAGAGCAGCTGACCTCTGGATCTCCTGCCCTCAAGGGGCACTGTGCTCCTGGAAACTGAGCAGCCACTGTCTACAGGGCTTCCCAACTGGATCAGGGTAGGACTTTGTCAGCCCCAGACCAAGGTGAATGGACTTGAACCTGGGTGCACAGCAAGTGCTCAGAGCAGCCCCAGGAACCCAGCCTGCCCTCCTCAGGGGCCTGTTGTTACCACAGTCGCCTCCCCAATGCCAGGGTGCTCTGTCCCTGGACAGGGCTGGCCCTCACCCCAGGCACTGGTGTGGGGGGCCCTGACTAGGGTTGCAGCAGCAGAGGGACCAGCACACTTCTGAGCTTCAGAATGAACAGCCACCTGCCCATCCACCCAAATGTGGGCTCCACGAGTGTCTTCAATTAGCAAACTAAGCAGTGCTTCTGCTCTGGCCACCTGTGATACAGACCCTCAGGTAAACAGACTGTTTTCTTAGGCACCATGGCTATGGGGAGTAAGTCAGCTTGGCCACACAGCCTGCAGGTGAAATGTATTTCTCTGTAGCTCGATCTGACCCGTGTTTCCTACTTCTGGAAGTTTTATCTAAATTGCAACACTCAACATCTGCTACTGTGGAGGCCAGAACCTACTTTATAAAAGTTCCACACCCTGTTTCAACAGATGGTAAGATCTGTCAGAAACAATGTGCGAGGAAAACGGGAGGTTTGTGTGGAAAAATATCAAAGTGGACAGACAGCAAAGCCTGGGCTCCGGTGACCAGAAGGAAAGCCAGACATCAGCATGGGGTGTGTCTCCCAGTGGGGGCTGCCAGGGCTTTGCCACCAGGATAGGCCAGGGGTCCTGCAGGAGCATTCCCTGCTACACACGTCTGGGAAACCCCAGGCCACCAAAGGCACCAGGTTCTTTACCACCAGACCTCCCAGAACCACAAATGTCATGTGAAGGAGGGGGAGGGGTCCCCAACACATATGGCCTGTTTCTTGATGGTGCTTTTGGAACTGCCTTCTATAAAGAATCCGGGTCACAGGTAGAGGGCGTCTCCCTGTCAGGTTGGGAGTTAGTCTCAGCACTTCCGCACAGATTGACATCAGAGTGTGCTGGTGTTCCGGAAGTTTCTGGAGGTGGGTGGGGGACAGGTTAGTAGCAGCAATGACAGGGCCTCAGCTAGGAATGGGTGTCCGTTCCTGGGACCCTAAAGGCTGGGAGAGCCTGACTGGACCACTTGGTCCTGAAAGAAGAACCTCTGGCTTTGGGGCAAAGGTGCAGTGGCATTGGGAGAACTCTGGATCTATGACCCAGGACCCACGGGAAGACATGGGTTTGGAATAAGCTGGAAAATAGGAAGGAAACCCCATGGAGGGAGCAGGAGAAGAAGAGGCAGCCGAGGACACCCCTCAGAGCCGCCTGCCACGAGTATGACGGCAGTCACTCACCAGCTTACTCCTCTATGCCGACAGAGCAGGAGTCCGGCCCCCGGGCTATGCAGAGGAGAGAGACAGAAGCTTGGTTAGCGACGGCTCAGGCAGGTCAGCACACTCCACAACAGATGCACTGGCTTTAGGATGGGCTGCCTTGAGGGGGTGGGGAGCAGGAAAGGAAAGGCCTACACAACCTATGTGCTGAGACAAAAGACAGATATAGGCTGAAATTATATTTCCTGAGAAACGGAGTTCTGGGCCAAATTCTAACGCAGAGGAACTCAGCCTATGGAAGGACTGAAGAGGTGGGGGCTGGGCAGAATTTGAATCATAATGAAATACTTGAAGTCCTCTGCAAGAACTTACTGGAATTCTGTATTACTCAAAGGTATGCTTTTGCCCCTGGGTGTCCCTATGGGCAGGCCCATAGGTGCCACTGAACCAACAGCTGCCCTGCTTCCCCACAGTGGGTGACCCTCTGTCTGCACAGGTCACTGCTCTTCCAGATGCCAGGGTCGGGGGCAAGAGGCCCTTCCAACCAAAGCATGTTAGAGCTCCCCAGTGCCTGGGCCAGGTCACCAGGGACCAGGCAGTGGTGGCTGCAGGGGCTCCCCAGGAATGTGGCAGGAGTCAGGCTCTCTGGTGGCAACGTGGCTATTTATCTTGATTCCAGAACCTCAGATGGCATCCTAGCAGGTGCCACCATGAGCACCTGAGAGCGCCCCCAACTCCCATCCACCATGTTTGGAACCCAGGACTTGACATTGAGGACTTTGGCCCAGAGGAGCCAAAAGCAGAGAAGCTGAGGCCAAAAGGCCTGGGCAGAGGCCTCAGGAAAGTGGAGAAGCAAGATCACTCCCAGGTGCCTCGAGACTTACTGGCACCTAGCACCCAGCCTGCCCCCCTCACCCTGACCTGGGATGCAGCGTTTCATCAGGGACCTCAGGCAAGTGGCGGCCCACATCAAGCCTAAGGCAGGAAGGTGGCTTTGTTCGTAGCTTCCCAGGGCAGAGGCCCAACTGTGCCAGAGCCATGGAAGAAGATACAGCAACAGCAGGAGGCAGACAGGGAAAAGGGCCGTGTCCTTAAACACACAGCCTTTCCTGCCTTCGTGTGGCTGAGCTGGCTCTGGGGTGCCAAGGGGCCTCAGGCACAGGCTCTGCCCAAAGAGCCAGCGGCTGCAGAAGGGGTGACTGTGGAAAATCAGCCGGCTTGGGGGTTGATGGAAGGAGTGTGGCTCAGAGCCAGGGAAAGGGGTTGGGTTCCCACGGGTCAGCCCCTCCCTCAATAGTCAGAGCATGCCCCCAGACCCATGGGGACAGTCACAGCACCGCCCCAGGCCTAGCAGGCCCCCAAAGCCCAGAGGCTGAGTGCCAGTACCTGGAAGGTAGATGTCAGTAGGTGGACCAGGCTGGCAGCAGCCACAGGGATCGAGGCTGCCATCCTGTAGGACGTTCTCAATGGAGGGCACACAGCTACCTGCAGAGGAGGGAGCAGGTCAGGGACCCGCAGGCAGGGGTGGATCCAGCCTTCCCTCTGGCTGAGAGCCCGGAGCCCATCTCTCACCCCCAAGGGCACTACAGCCACTAGGGGCCCTCACTCTGGCCAAGACCTCATTCCGACTCCCACTCTGCTCCCCCAGGACCTCAGAGATAGATGTTTCCTCTTCTTCCTCTTTCCTTCTCTTGCACCCCCTAGCATGGGGCTTTTGTTTTATTTTTATCTTAAAAAATTACGTGCCCAACTTTAAAAAACAAGATAAAACGGTAACAGGTACAACTGTCCCATGTGTCTTTCTGGATGGGCAGGCAGGGAGGCAGTGCTTGGTCCACACACACTCGCAGCAGGTCCTGTGTGGGTGGTCCAGTGGGGGGCCCTCTGGGTGTGGCTGCCCCACTCACACATCAGCACCCAGTCTCGGACCCGCACTTCTCCCAGTGCTGCCAAGGGCGTCCTCGTGGGGGAGGTCTCTCCTGCAGAAAGGGGCCTGGTCCCTGTGACAGGGCACAGCAGAGAGCTGCCCAGTCCCAGCACACACACTGCACAAGCGAGACAAAGCCAACCCCCGGGAGGTGGGGGAGCCAAGGCCTGAGAGGCAGAGGGGATGCCTGCACCCTGCCAGCCAGCAAGAGAAGGCACGGTGCTTCCGGGAACAGAAACCCCTCCTCCCAGCACTCACACACCCCACACCCAAGGGCCCTGGCCCAGCAGCCTGCAGACAGGCCCCACCCATGTATAGGGGGGTGCTGCTCCTGGGAGGGATACGGGTCCCCATAGTGCAATGCTGGCCAGGGGCCCCAGCAAGAAGGGGTCACAGCAAGGGGGCATCTGTGGGTTATTTGGGGGGCTTTATCAGACTGCAGGCTTGGGAGCCAGCCAGCGAGGGCCACCTCCTAGCTCTGTTACTTCTAAGTTAAGTGGCTTTGGCCTTCCCCCACACCAACCCTGAGCCTGTTTCCTCATCTGTCCAACACCAGGAAGAAATGACCAGGGCAGTGACAGATGGCATCTCCCCAGCCGGCAAAGCAAAGCACCTCATTATGCCCCACAACCACTGTGAGATCAGGCAGGGGCATCCCTGACTCAGAGCCTGGTACACGTGATGGGCACCTAGGACCTAACTCCCATACGTGCTAAACCACCTCACCAAAAGAGGTACAAGCCCTCTCACCCCAACACGGGAGGCGTGGACATAGCTGAACCCTGTGCCCACACCCGGGCCATCGACTGTGCCAGGCCCAAGGCCCACACAGAGGTCCTGGGTCTCCACAGGCACTGGCAGGACAAAACCCCAAGGGATGGGTGCAGCCCAAGGCCAGGACAGGTGACGTACAAAAGGACAACCGTGGAGAGCTGTGTGCAGAGTGATCCAAGTGGGAAATAAAGTGATCACTACTACCGGACGCTGGGCGGCGGCAGGCTGTCCTCCAAGACAGCGTGCAGCAACCGACGCGCGGTTCCCAGGAGGGCAGCACGACTCACTGAGAAACCTCTAGGAGAGCTGGGCCGGAGGCCCCCGCCCCGCCTAGGCAGAGAGTACCAGAACCCTGACCTTAAGGAAAGAGAGGGCTTACCTTGCTTTAACGACGACCTCTCATCGACCTCCTCCGTGAGGAAACTCTAGAGAACGAGGGAAAGTGAGTCTGGAGCTACAGTGCTGACCCAGGACTGGTGCCAACCACCCGGGATCAGGCGGCAGGTAGGCCGGGGAGGGTGCAGGGTGAGCTGCAGCTGCCAGTCCAGGGCATGTCTGCTGGGCACTTCACACACAGCCCCTTTGCCAGTGCCCACCGCACAGATGAGGAAGCTAAGGCTGAGGGAAGTCACAGCCGGGCCAAGCCCTCTGAATGAGGGAGTGGCAGGGCAGGCCTGGGGCACACCATGAAACAGGTCTCGAAAGTCAACAGGCAAGCAGTGGGGACTCAGATCTCAGGTGGGCAGGACTGAGGAGGGTGGGCCAAGGCGGGATCTCACCTCTGGGGAGCTGCTCAGCACCAGCCCAGCCCCACTCAGCAAGGGAGGGGCGTCCGAGTTCTGGGAGAGCTTCTCCTCATCCTCTTCATGGATGGGGGATGATGGGGACCGCAGGGTGCTGGAGGCAGAGAAGAGGGGAGTGAAAGACAAGTGGATGAGAAATGCCAACCCCAGCAAAGCCAGCATCAGGTGAGGGTGAGCTCACAGATGCGCACCTGGGGCTGCAGGGCAGTTGCGCCCAGGGAGGGGCGGGCACCAGCAGAATGCCAGCAGGGGTCCCAGCTGCCAGATATCCACCCAAACCCTGGCAGAGGCCTAAACGTGGCTTTTTAATTTCCAAAAGGACGAGAGCTGTAACAGTTAACCCCTGGGGCAGGAGGCTGGGTGTGGGAAGCAGCAGGAGAGATTCCCATGTTTCTTTGTGTATCTTTGTGGTGGTTCTGCCATGTTTGTAGGTCACAGGGATGGTGGTCGGTTTTATAGAACCTCTGCCTTTTTTACACTTTTCTAGTTAGAAACCAGCACATGTGTGAGGGAACACGGCAGGGCTGGTTGCCTGAGCCTAGCAAGTGTCCCAGGGAGCCACGATGGACCCTTGGCGGGCCCGGACATGTGGCCCTCGGAGGTTCCTTATGTGAGTGATGACGATCCTGCTTGTCTGGTATAAACAGGGCGCAGGGCATGCACCTGGTTTCACCAAGGCTGGGTTTCTGGCACCATCACTGGTCACACCACAGGATGAGCCCATGTGACCAATCCCCAGAAACACAAACAGTTCTTCTGGCCTGAGACAGCACGCATGCTCCTGGGGTTTGCTGCTCCCGTGTGGCCTCAGGCAGGAAGGACACTGGGGCCTCTGGCCTCCACGCATGCAGTTTCCTCCCGCTGCCTTTGCTGTGATCGACCTTAGCCACGAGCCCAAACCACAATGGTCTCGTGACTCGTTCTGGAGAATCACCAAACGCAATGCATTATAAAATTATTTAAAATTACAAATAAACCTGCTTTGCACTGCTTATCTCCTAGCACATGCCTCCCTTGCCCTGGCCCACAAAGCAGGTGGGAGTTCCCAGACACCCTTCCCCAGAGGGAATCCTGGCACCGGCCTCACCTGTCAGGGGATTTGCTCCTTGACTTGCCCTTCTGGTGGCTGCTTTCCAAGATTCGATCAAGTCCAGCAAGTGGACAGTTGGCCTGGGATAGGCCATCTGAGACGCCCGAGTAGGTGATCTCTTCATAAAGGGGAGCCGAGGGGAGGGCCGGGGAGATGGCTCGAAGGCCGTTGAGCGCCTCAAGCAGGGAGATGGGCTCGTAGCCGGGCGGGATGCTGTCGGTGCTCTGAGGGGACACGAGCAGGTGAGGGATGGGTTGGCCAGGCTCCCTGCCCGCCGCCTGGGGTTTGTGCCCCAGAGATGTTCTGTTTCCCAGAACCTGCTTTCTCACCATCTCCTGCCTGCTCCACCTTCCAGGGACTTAAATCCTCCCTCCTCCAGAGGGGTGCCAAAAACTCCAGAGCAGCATTAGACATCCTACCCAGGGCTCCCGAGCCATCAGCTGCAGCACACAACCTTGGATACCCAAACGCCCCACGTGATGTCCAGGATGAAGGTGGAGAGGGCATCTGGAAGAGCCAGCCCTATCCCAAGCCTCAGACAGCCCCTGAAGGACAGCTTTGTGTTCCTGCCTGGCAGGGCTGGAGGGTGAGAGGGTTAGTAAGAGAGAGGAGCGGGAGGAGAGCAAAGCCATGCCAGAGGTGAGAGACACCAGTGGGAACCAAAAGTGTTCTAGACCAGGGGGCAAGGGGGACTGGTCCCCAGGGAGTCTGCCCGACAACAGAGACATGGGACCCAAGTTCAGATCCTCTGTGAACCTGAGGCGGGCAGGCATCCAAGGGGCAGTATGTGCTCCAGGTGATTCTAATGTGCCCCCTGGTTCAGAACCTGTTTCCCCTTTGCTAGGAGCGAATCACATCAACAGGCTGAGTCCTGCTTTAGGGTTAAAGGTGAAGGGAGATGCCCCAGTGCTGGGGCACGTCAGTGCTGGGCCCCGTCAGTGCTGGGCCCCTGTAGGGCAGGGCAGCCACCTGCCCTCACTCTCATTAGATGAGGTGAAGGGCCAACGCTCCGAAGTATTCCCCGTGTGTGAAACCCCCACTGACTGGCTGGAAGGAAGGCTCCTTTCAGGGAGGTGCTGAAGCACTGCTGGGACCACAGGGGAAGCAGAGGACCAGGGTGGGGCCTCTTGTCCTCAGAGAGCACCTCCCAGGTCCCCAGGTCACCTGACCCAGTGGTGCCCTGCATTTGCTCCCAATCTACTACCTTCAGTTTAAAGGTAAATAATTACTCTGAGCCCCCTTGCCCACCAAGAAAAGGAAAACATCTGTCTCTAGCTTGACTCTCCAGTGATGTCCACTGTGTGCTTTACCGCAGGCCCAGCCCGGCTGCCATGCGCTGTCCGGTCCCAGCCTGCTCCCTGAGATGCGGGAAAATGCAAGAAAATTAAGTCCCTGGTACAAAGAAATAAAACCCAAGGGGTAGAGGGCAGAGGTGCAGGATAACAAGCAAGCGCGAGGAGTGCCGTTTGCAAAATCTAGCAGCCACGTTAGTTCCACCTCCAACATCATTCCACTGCCAGCAAGAAAAAAAGGGAAACGAGGGCACTGGGACCACGGGCAGAAGCAGAGCTGGCGGGAAGGGGCGGCCTGAGGCCGGTACGTTGCCCGGCAGCAGGGATCGAGAGACTGGCTTTTTGCTGACAGACCTTGAGCTTTGCTTGTTCCGCAAAACTCCTTTCCTAGGCAGAGACGTCGGGACTGGGGAGAGTGGATTTGACAGATTAAATTCATCAAAAGCATCAGCGTGGGGTAAAAATGACTTCCCATAATTGTCATTGGCTTAATAATCAGGGCGAAGGGCAGAGATGTGGCCACAAGGCCAAACACACTTACAGTTTCCCTTTTAGGTTTCTTGCTGGCCAGTGAGGCAGGGTGCGACTTTGGTTTTTTAAAGGGACACTGTCAAAATAAAAACCACACATTTTACAACTACTACCCTCCGGACGGCCCTGGAGCTGGCTGGATGGTGTCTGTCTGGTGTGCTGGCTTCTAGGAGTGCCGTCAGCCAGCACCTCACAAACTTAATGTGCATGTGAACTATGGGGACCTTGCCACAACACAGGTTTGGCCTCGGGGGCCTTGCTGGGCAGGGCCTGCACAACCATGCAGCTTCTGGGAGCCATGCTGCTGGTACAGCCCGTCCCCACCCTCAGTGCCCACCCACAGTCTGGGTCACCTGGAGTAGCAGGTCCTGGGCAGGGTGGTTGGACACAAGGGGGCCTGGCTGGGTGTGAGGGAGGGACCCACAGGCCCCGAGCACCTCTGTGAGGCTTAACCTGGCCTCTTAAACTTATTGCCAACTTCTACACCCTAATGGTAGCTAGGCAGAAAAATCAGCCCCAATTCACCTCACTCTGTGATGACTTAACGAATTCATTAGAAGAAATGCCGAATTTGGGCTCTCTCAGGTACTACGTGGAAATGGCTGGTACAGGGAACAGGACAGAGAACAACTCTGGAGAGGAAGGCGCTACAGGCTCCCACCCAGGCCCCAGCCCGCCCTGCACCGTGGGCTGTGTCTCGGCTCTCTGGATAAGAGGGACACACAGAAACTGGGAGGGGACACACAAGCCACAATTTACCCACCACCTGGGCAGCCACCCTCTTGTGAAAGAGCCCTCACTTCCTAGGAGCGAAGCCACCCAGATGCTGTTGCTGTTTTTCTGTCTCCCAAAAAGGCAGTTGTTGGAAACAGTGTGCAGTGTCCCTAACCAAGTCCAATGCTAAGTATGTGGTCGGCCCAGTCTCCAAGTTGTAGGCCCCGGTGCTGACAGGGCCCAGAAGGCAAACTGGACGGTGTGGCTGCTGCCAGAGCAGGGGTGACGAGGGCCTGCCCCACCCCCAGGGTGGGGGGGCAGCCTTACTTCTGCTCCAGCTTCAAGACCACACCTCCAGATTTTGAAAGAGAAGCTGAGTTTTAAAGAAAATTTGCAAATTTTTAAACGTTAACCCAATTTTCAGAAACATTACATGGACCAAACACATCATGCCCACTGGCCCAGCACGGGAGCCCATCTTGTGGGTGCGCCAATCCAGAGGGCACGGGTCCCCTCTTCTTTTCCGAGTCGGCAGGGCCTTTAGAAATCACTGGGTCCCAACAACCTCAGCTGGGAGCCAAGAAAATGGACTTACAGCTGATAACATTCACGGCCAGCGGGGACCTGGGAGCTTGAGACCCAGGCTTGCCTGACACCTGTTCCCTGGTCCTTCCTCCCCCACCTGTCCACCTCAGCCTCTCCTTTCTACTCCCATCCTCGTCTCTGTCCGTCTGTCTGTCTCTCTCTCTCCATGTCTCTTTCCATCTCCTCTCTGTTTGGCCATCTCTTAAGTATGTCCCTCTCACTGTTATCCCTGCTGACTACTCCCTGCTGTGTCTCTGCGTCTGTCTCTCTCTCCCGCTCCCTCTCTGTCTCTCTGCCTCCCCATCTCTGGACCCCTCCGCTTCTCTCTGCCCATCCATCTCTGCCTCTCTGCTTCTCTAGTTCTGCCTCTACACATCTGCCTCTCTAAGTCTCATCATGTCTCTGCCCATCTCTCCCTCCAGGTCCCTGAGACCAGAGTCCAACACCCCTCATCTGCCTGCAGCAAGGTCCAGCTCATCGTCTCTAGGGAGCAAGGGCAGTGGACAGTCGCTGAGGTGCCCTCCTGTGTGCCCAGGCTGGAGAGAGGTGGGCAGAGAATGCAGAGAGGGTATGTCACAGCCACCCTCGGAAGGAAACCACACTTCCCAAGACACAGAGTGCCCCTGGCTGTCTGGCTTGGTGGGGTAACGGTGACAGACACTGGGGCTCAAGCTCCATGAAGGGGCACATGCCACTGCCAGCAATCCTAGCCACCTGGACCACCCCACTCGGCCTCACAGCCACCTGCGAGCCATGCTGGGGAGATGAGGACAAAGACCCAGAGAGCCGGCAGATGGAGGTGCTAGCCAGATGGTCTTGGTCCTGGCCAGGTTGTGCTCTGAGGGCAGGGCCCAGGTAGCCTCCTCCCAGCCACCTGACCAACCCAGCCCCTCTGGGAGCCAGACACAGCCCTAACATGAGGGCAGGCCCTGCAGTGTCTGGGCGCCTGACGGGCCCTGCACAGTAGCAGGGGTTCCTCCAAGTCCTTCCTCTGCCCACCCCCACGCCCCCGGTGCAGGAGGAAGAGGCACTTACAGAGTGCTCGTCATGGTCCATACTCTGGGCCAGAACAGGGCTGAAGGAGACAGGGGACAGGGCTCCTGGCTTCTTCCTCACTGCCCGGATCTGCAGAAGGGCCCGGAAGGCTGTGGCAGAAGGGAGGGGTGGATGTCAGGCAAAGAACAGGCAGTTCTAGCACCACTGAGACCCTCCAAGTTCTGGGGACACTGGCCACCCACTCACGCCACAGCAGTCCCAGGACAAGCCACGTTTACGATTCAGGCAGAACAGAATCATGACAAAACGCCCCCACCCCAACCCAAGGGAAACAGAAGCCAGGACTGCGCTGCCCATGCATAAACGGAGCTTTTGGGGGCAGCGGGCAGGAAGCAGCCAGCCTCTCGCCTGTCACACTAGACCATGAACGTGCCTCTGAGTCACACCTGCCAACCAGCTGAAAGCACACGGTGAGCCCTGAACACCACACGCCTCCTCCTCCAAGTCACACCGGCCGACAGGCAGGCAGGCACACGTACGTGAACGTTCATGATGGCACGTCTGTGCCGGGAAAACCAGAAGCAGCACAGACACCGACCACTGACCGCGGAGTTGGGAAAATAAATCAGATCATGAGTCACCTGGCAGCGTCACTTTCACTAACAGAAGTGCAGTGTCTGTTAGACACAGTTCAGTGAAAAGCGCACACAACACACACGAATCGCAAGTGTATGAAGCACATCCCCACAATCAGATGAAGGACCACTGAGTCCCCACTGAGTGTTGACAGCAGTGGCCCCACACTGAAGGCTTCAGGGACAATGGCCCTGGCCCAACTGGCCAGCCCGAGTGCCACAAACACCTGCCCTGGGGCCCCTGCTCCCGGGCCTCTGGGCGACGCCCAGAAGACCAGAGCAAGCTGGGAAGGCTGGAGTTCAGCTCCAGCCCAGGATCCGGCCACCCACCATGGCCTCCCTGCTGTGCTTTCCCATTCCTCTGCTCCCAACACATCCCTCAAGAGAGGACAGGCTACTGCCGTCCCAGCTATTCTCCAAGGAGGCTGCGCAGAGCCTTGCTGCCATCCCTCCGGGCCCAGCACACAGCCCCCAGCATCCTATCGAGTCTGGTGCTTCCTCCTGGGCTCTGGACCCCGCCCCACTGAGCAGACAGCCTCATCCTCCACTGCCACATGCCCAGCCTGCCCCACGACCCTTGCACCTGCACACCCTTTTGATGGCCAACCTGGCTATGCCAGGGGGACAACCTTGTGATTTGCTGGTGTAGTGGAGGCAGGACTGTGGGCTCTGGGTCAGACCCAGTTTAAACTACACCTCTGCCCCTTACTAGCTATGACATTGGGCAGTTTCCTCTGAGCCCCAAGACAGTGTGACAGGGCAAGTGTGAGAGCTCGGGACCACATGTCCTGGCTCAGAGCTTAGAGGTGGTACCTTAGTAGCCAATGTGTGAAATGGCAGAAAGACCACAATTTCTAGAAAGTCATCATCTGCCTCCTAAATAAAATGCCCCACAGCTCCCCCAGGCACGCACTCTCCTTGCCCACTTAACTCTCATGTTGACCCAGCAGGACTGTGCCCTGAGAATGTTTAGTCACTCTATTGGAACACAAATATTTTATTCAGGCTTGTAACCAATGTCATGACTTTTGACTGGGGGGAAAAATGGCCCTGGCAGGTGTGGCTCAGTGGATCGAGTGCAGGCCTGCAAAACAAAGGGTCGCCGGTTCAATTCCCAGTCAGGGCACATGCCTGGGTTACAGGCCAGGTCCCCAGTGAGGGACATACGAGAGGCAACTGCACATTAACGTTTCTCTCTCTTTTTCTCCCTCCCTTTTCCTCTCTCTAAAAATAAATACACCAAGTCTTTTTTAAAAAATGTCTGGAGTGCTCCAGAACACCAAATTTAATTCCTTGATCGCCCCTTTCATTTCACTGTAATTCTCGATCAAAATATTCTCCACGTGATCTTTGATATAAAGATGTGACTCACTGATCAATTTCTGTCCAGTTCTAACGTCACTGCAAACACCTGCCCCGGAATGCCTGTCCTGGCCGTTCTGAACGTCTAATGTCCTGGAGGCAGACCTTTGAGGGTCTGGATCATTCACACGCCCACAGAGCTACTGAGGGTGTGAACCACCTACACCAAATACCAGGTGCCACTTCATCGTGCACCAGGTGGGAGGCTGACAGCCTCTGTCACTCCCAGCCCGCACCCCTGGCTGCCCTGGTGCAGGGCCCCCACTCACGCAGCCGGCAGATGGGGCAGTTGCTGGCCTGGTAGCGCAGTGTGTCGGCACAGGAGTTGCACAGGCACAGGTGGCGGCAGGGCAGGATCAGCGTGTCCCGCAGGTCTGATAGGCACACCACGCACTCATTGCTGTTGTCACTGTTCTCCTCGTCCGAAGGCTGTAGGACAATGAGGGTCTGAGGGTCAGCGGCCTTCTGAGAGCCGGAGCCTGGGGGCCAGTTAAGGAGCAGGGAGGAGGCCTTCCTGCCCCTGGCTGCCCCACTAGCCATCTCCCACTTCCCCTGGGGACTGCTGTGGTGGCAAAGGGAAGCCCTAAAGGGTGCAGGACGGTCACCACAGAGTTGGGCACCTCAGTAGACTCAGCCCAGAGTCATGCTCCCTGGGCACCAGGCTCAGATCCAGCCCAAGCTACCCCTAGCCCCACAGCTAAGTGGAGAATCTGTAGCCCCCACCCCCACCAACACACTCCTACATAGACCCCAAAAATCAAGGAACTGAGGTCTATTTCTATTCCTCAGAAACAAAAAAATGTGGAAAAGACGCAACACTATGGAAAACATCTTCTGGAAGGTACCCATTTACTTGGTTAAAAAAAAACAGACAAATCTAGTTTTTTGCTCAGAAATGTCTTTAAAATATTTCCATCAAGTAAAATCTAGATCAAGAGAGAGCAACAAACTACACCAGGGATCAGGAGCTCCCAAACGAGCATCCCTCTCCCCACAGAACCACAGTCTAGGGAGGAGCCAGACGGCAGGGCGCAGCGAGGCGTAGCCGCTGGGTGAGAACAGAAAGGCCAGGGCAGCACCGGTGAAGCCCAATCAGGCAAGAAGGGACTCCACATGCCCTGGCTGCCCTCATAGCCAGCACCAACAACCATGGTAACAAGCCAATGAATTTGCTGAAAAAAGGACAAAATGTCCTGTTAACTCTTTTCAAAATTAAGGAAAAAATGATGGAATCTGGGGTCCCAAGGCCTCCAGGAAAAGGTGTGGAAGGGAACTGGCTTATCAACCTGCAGGCTGGGGGACCCCAGGCAAGTCACCCCCACCAGCCTACTTCCGTGCAGGCGGGAGGAAAGCTGGGGAATGAGGCCAGCCTGGGGTGCTGGCTCATGCTCACCGTGAGTACATACCTTCGTCTCCTGGTTGTTCTTATTCTCAATGCCATAGATCTCCTGTAACAGGTAGCTGACCCGGTCTACCTGGAGAGCAGAGAGGTATCTGGGCACTTGCCGGCCCCCACTCAAGGGCTCCTCCACACCCACCTGGCCTAATACCACCTCTCAACTGCCAGGTTCGGGTCCCGGGAGCAGGCATAGTTGGAAATTCTTTCTGCTCCAACCTCAGGGAGCGGGTCCAATGCCAGGACAGGGTTAGAAAGAACCTACTACCTGCCCAGCCCAACTCGCATGGGCAGAAAGGCTGGGGCCCAGGTGGTCCTGTCCTCCAGAGAGGGCCTGAAGCCAAGATCCACATGGACCTAGAAACCATACCCTCTACAGCCTTTACTGTCCCTTACCTAGAGAAAAAAACTTCAGACCCACCCATCACTAGCCCCACAAGCGTGACCAGGTTCAGGCCTCATGCTGGCCACGTTCAGAAGTGGTCTGGGCTTCTGTGTTTCCGGCAGTTCTACGGACCACAAACACTCCTTCTGAGAGCTACAGTCCTGCCAGCCAGCTCCCCCAGGACAAGTGCCCTGACTATCACTAGGGTCTCTGGCCCTCATGCAACCTCTAGGGGCTAGATCTGGCAGAGTTTGCCTTACCCCTCTTTTGAAAAACTAACCAACATCATTCCTGGGCTGTGGCTTATACACCTGATCAGCTACATACAAGGATAGCATAATTACAGATTTGGAAACAGGCCCCACCATGGCCATTGTTAAAGTCAGTCTGAATATCAAGATCCGACATGACACAGTTCAGGGGACCCACCCCCTAAATTGTCAGAGTGTGGATGCCACCAGGAACAACCCATCCTGGCGGGGGGACCACGGAGTTACAGACCCCGGAGAAGCCGCACTTCTCTCCATCTCCCATTCGTTCCAGGACGTGCCATCTCTCCCCTCAAATATTAAGTAAATCCCTTTCTGCCCCATACTGAGGTATTTTCTGTAATTTGTAAGGAGTAGGAGGAAGGGAGGCTGCAGTCTTAGCTTCCTGTTTTCTTCCTTCTTCTGTCCATTCATACACTCGTTCATTCACTCAGCAAACGTTTACTGAAAGCTTACTGTATTCACAGTGGACAAGATCCAGGGCTACAACAGTCAGTGCTGTTGCACGTGGTGGGTGTGCAGCACACACGCATGCACCTGACGACCCTGACCCTGACTTCCCGGAGCCACAGCAATGACAAACAAGTCAGCAGGCCTGTCATCAGCTGCCCCGACAGCAACCATGAGGGGAAGGGAGACTGATCCACAGAGACCACTGGACTGGAGGTCAGGGTGTCTCTTTTAAATCAAAAGGGCTCATGACGTTTCCGCTGGCAGACTTACAATTTGCTTCTGCTTTAACGGCTTCACAGAGAAGCTACCGTCGACATGCTGCAGGAAGAGAAACACAGAGGTTAACTCGGCGCGCGGCACTGCTCGGTCACTCCACATCCACGGCTAGAAACAGAAGGGACCACGTGAAGACTAAAGAGCTAAAAGAGCCAGGCCAGTTTTTCTCAGATGTGGCCTCTGACCTGGCCTCGGCACTACCCAGAGAACCTTCTAAAGATACTGCCTCCTGGTCCCACCCTGACCTACAAAACCAAACTCTCCCTGGTAGGTCTCAGGCACACTCAAGTTTACTACCATTAGTCAAGTTCTGATGGACAAGAGCTTCCCCAATGGCAAGCAGCAGCACCTGGACAGCAAGAAATGGACACTAGATCTAGTCCTCAAAGGGCTTGGTCTCGTCACAAACGCAGCACAGGATGTGTACATGCATGCATACAAAGGCCTAAAAACAGAACAAAAGAGAGCAAATGCCTTCAGTGGTATCTGGGCAGACATACTGCGCAGTGTGGATGAGGTTAACTAAGGTACAAGATCTGGGATCTTGTAACAATGCCAGTTGTCCTGAGTTAACCGAGACTAGCACTTGGCATTTTCTGGTAAAGCTGATGGGCTCCTACAGAAGTTTCTAGTACGTTGGACTCCAAAAATAATGTGGTTTGTCACTGGGCACTAAACTGGAAGCACACAATGTTTGCCAGAGACGGCCCATCCACCTTGGCCAGAGAAGCAGACGGGTCAACAGTTACTATCTTTTCCAACAGTCCAGGCTTGAGGGGCAGAGCTGGAAATCCCAGAACTGGAGCAGCAGAGGGCCAATCTCTGCCCAGGGCACACGGTGCCACCTCAGCCCCAGGAGGCCAAGGAAATCACAGGACCAACAGACCAGAAAGGTCACAGGCCCGGCTACAATGACTCCTGGGGCCCCTGGACAACCCAGACCACAGGAATGGGCCAGGCTCTGCACTCAGGGCTCTTGGGGCTGCAGACACACACTAGCTGAAGACGCTGGAGGTCAGCAGGATGCCCAGGAGTGGTGGGAGCTGCAGGATAAGCAGCCCGAGCCTGGTTTCCCTGTGCAGTCCTTGATGCTCATTCATGTAGGCCACAGGGTGGAGCTGAAAACACTATACAACTGCAGAGGCCAACCCATGTCACAGAGCACTTCGGGGAGGGGGTGGCAGGCACGACGTCTTCAAACACAGGACACATCCCACTACCTCCGGTAAGGGTCCTGGTGAGCAGGCACCCTGTCCCAACACAGCCAGGCACTCACTCGCAGCATGACGGACACACAGAACTGTCTGGCCCCAGGACCAGGAGTGACAGGAAAGTGCGACTGTCTCTAGACCCAGCACTGTCCTAACGCAGAGACAATGGGGAGGCAGACCATCCTAACCACCAATGCATCCTGTAAACACAGCCTGAGGACGTGAGTCTATGTGGAAAGAAGTGGCAAACACCTAAGTTAAATACATGTTGACACTAGCTAAAGGTAGTATAAATGAATCCTTTCATGTAAATGGCCTTTTACACATAGGGCATCCCCAGCTGGGGCCCTCAGCAGAGACTGGGTGTCTTTTCCCTCCACCACCCACAGAGGCATGGTCCTCGTCCATCCAACCAGCATTCACTGGGCACCGACTTTGTGCTGAGGATACGACAAACCAGGCGCCTTTCTGCCCTCAGCCCTCAGATGAGTTCAACAAATGCCTGTCCAAAGGTCAGGAAGGTCCAGTGGGGAGGGAGGTCTGCCCAGCCCCAGGTGACCAGGGTGATGCACGCTTCTGGAGGCAAGGCAGGGCCACCTGTGAATGTCTGAGGACCAGATGGGGACTGAGAAGTTCTGATGAGTCCCAGAATCCTGGGTCTGGTGGGAAGGGCCACGGCCGTAGGAGCAGGTGTCCCTGCAGGATCCCTTTAAATCCCAGAGGAAAGCTGGTCTGACCAGAGCCCTCTACGTGGGCATCCTGCCCCTGTGCTGGCAGATTATAGGGACTTCTCCTGGGCTGGCCTCCCTAAAACATGACCTCACCACATACCGCAAACCCTTAAAAAGCCTCCTGATGGTAATGCTAGACCTGAAGGCCCAGCCTCCTGAGACGCATCATCTCCCCTGGAGCCAGGACCAACTGGAGAAACTTCCATGTGCCCTGGGTTGGCATGATCCCCAGACTCCTGGTCTCAAAACACCACCTCTCTGCCCATAGCTCCCAGGTCAAGATGCAGGATGGCACTTACCTTTTCGAAGGCAGCCAACAGCACATGGGCGTGGCCAGTCACCTCTACAACTGCCCAGGAGAGAGAAGAGAGAGCACTCAGAGCGCTGACCTGCTCCCCGACCCCCAGCTTCTTTCTCCTTCCTCTCAGCAGATGCTCTCCCATGCTCTCAGCCTGCAGGCCTCAAGCCTCTGGAGGGCTCCTCCTTATCTTGCCTTCCTCTGCCCAGGGGTTCCTGCCTCCCTCTGGCTCACACCTCAGTCCTCCTCCAAAGCAGCAGCTAACTGCTCGAGGCTGACTTGGCACCTGTTGTCTCACTCTGCACAGGAGGGACATTTCAGGCAGGGCCAAGGAGCCAGACTCCACCAGTGAGCCTGAGGACCGGCCCAACCTGGCGGAGCTCCACATTTCACACCGTAGGCTAGAGGCCTGAAGTCCACAGAGGTGGAAGAGAGACCCGGCAGGACTGGCTAGGTCGGTGAGGAAATCTTAACGGCCTGAGGAGGGCCTACCAAATAAGCTCCCTGCGGGTCCCTGCTGTCTCCCTCATTCCACCGTGGGGTGCACACCAGAACTGAAGGCCTGTCTAGCTGCTGTTACGGCAGTGAAAACAAGGCTGCCATAGGGCCTTGCCACTGGGGGTGGGGGACAGGCTGGCCAGGAATTCCTGAGCTGGAATGAGGCCCCACAACCCCAGTGGGGGAAGCACCAAGGGAGCCCCAGAGAGGAGATGGAGAGCTAGTTGCTTGAGCCCCATGACCCTAAACCTGCTCACAAGGCTCCCACACCCTTCATCAATTCCGGATAAACTCCTTCCTGCTAACTGAGGGGACGAGGGCCTCAGGAGGTGGATTCTTCCTGCAGGGTCCGCACGCTGGAAGGGAGAATGAAGGAGAAAGGCCGCTCACCATCTCCTTCATCCACCATGGCCTGGATGACCACTGGAAACACTCCCCGGTCCAGGTCAAAGTTCAACTGAGGGAGAAAGGAGGTGAGACGGTCAGACCGAGCTGGAGGGAGAAGGGACGGGGAGGATGGCACTGCAGCAGAGCCTGTGCAGACAGACACGACCGTGAGGAAGACAGAGGCCTGGCTGACTTCCTCTCTGTGGTAAAAATGATTAAAATGGCAAATGCGTGTTCAATTCATCGGCACTAAGTGCATTCATCAGGTCCTGCGACCATCACTACCGTCCGTTTCCAGAACGTTTTTATCGTCCCAAACAGGAACTCTTGTCTCCATTAAGCAACTACTCCCACGGCCTGTTCTGGACATTTCACAGAAACAGAATCACACAGCATGTCTGTTGTGCCTGGCTTCTGCCACTCACTGTGTGTTCAAGGCGCACCCACGTGACAGTATGTCAGTTCTTCCTTCCTTTTCAAGGCCGGGTAAAATTCTGCTGCATGGCTAGACCACATGGTTTATTCAGTCGTTTCTCAACGGACACCTGGGCTGCTCTCCCCCTTGGCCGCCACACCCAGCGCCATGATGAACACTGCTGGACACACACCTGTGTGTGCCCATTTTCAATTCTCCTTGGCGCACCCAGGCGGGGAGGCGCTGTGTCATGTGGGAACTCTGTTCCACCTTTTGAAGAAAGGGACGTGGTATGGCCACAACCAAAGACAGAAGGGAAAGCAAAGGAGACCATATGGCTGGTCTGAACTCAAGAAAAAACTGCCTGTCCCTTTTCCTTTCCTTCCAGCTTCAGCCCTGTGGTCCTGGCTGCTCTCAGGCTGAAGGCCACTCTCCTCCCCACATACGTTCGCTTGGGCCTGGTCTCCAGATCTGCTCACCAGTGGGTGCTGTGGACCAGGTCACACAGAGCCCACAGGACAGAGGCAGCCAACGGAGGACACCCACGGCAGGGGCTGCACTGGGCAGGCCCTGAAAGTGCCAGTGGGTCCCGAGCTGTCAGTGGGAAACAGGACTGGGAGGGGGAGGGAGAGCGGTCAGGCACTGGGACAGACTCAGAACTGCTGGAGTAGAGGCACTTGCCCCAAGCCTCAGTTCCCCCAACTGCAAAAGGGATAAAAGCTGTGTCTGATGCCAGGCTCTGAGCATGGTGCCCAGGAGAGCATGCAGTGAGCACCAGCCAGGGAAGCCAAGGAAGGCCTCGCCAAAAGACACAGACAGGGCTTGGACCCCTGGAACACAGGACTTTGGGCAGACATCTGTGTAAGAGCTACATGTGGGGAGGGGGGGACATAACCAGGCCCACCTAAGACACAGCCAGGCCTCATGCTCTCCACAGCTTCAGGGTAAAAAGGCTGTACCATGAAAATCTGGCCTTATAGAAGGGAGGGACCTCCTTTCTGCCCTCATGCCTTGCTCTGAGATGACTCTAGGGTCAGGTGATCACCTAAGACAGGAGTTACATGTCTGGGGGACAAGGGTCCCTCTGCAAGCTTATTCCTCCCACTCTGAGTCAGGGCACAGGGAGCCATCTTGCCAATGACCATCCCAAAGTCACCCTGTTGACAATGATGCTGGGTGTGATGCACAGGTGCTGCTCTTCCAAAGGCTGTAATTAAGCCAAGGAGGGAGTTGTTCAGGTGACAGAGCTGGATGAGGAGCAGAGTTTTGTGCATCTTGGGCCCTGTTCGTCCAGTCAGCTGCTGGAGTGTATATAATCCTTGGTGCTGATCTGGGCGACTTAGTGCTGAGAAGCTGCTGAGTGATCTGCACTGTCTCTCTCCTTTGCACTCAAAGCTGGCGCTGCCTCAGTGCAGCTGACAGTCCCACTGCGCCGGGGCTGAACTAACAGCTAACAGCAGCCTTGGGATGTGTGCATGGTGGCTACACCACCAGCAGGCAGGACTCTGGCCCTTCTTTCCTCCTGTGCCTCTGGCAGACAGGGCTCACGACGGAAAGCCCAAGCTAAACAAGCATTCTGCACGAACCCGATGGATACCCTGAAGCAAGGGAATGTTCCTACCTCCAGGTGACAGGTGGGAAACCCAGGCTTGCAGAGGTAGTGTCACTTGTCCGGTGCTTCATGGAGAGAGTGGCGGAGCCAGGGCTGCCTCCAGGCCTCACCTACCTATGTCCTCTCAGTTCCCAGGAGAGGCCCCAGGACACCCCTGGTACTTTTGTCCTTGAGACTCTGCTCTTACACAAGATACAGTCTGACCCACATGTCCAGATCTGCCTAGACCCCACAAAAAATTCATGACCTTTTCAGGCGGTGGCGCCCCAATTTTCCTTGGGGGCATTTGGAAACAACCTCTCTCCTACCCTGGATCTGTGCTTGTCTGGCCAGAGAATGGCATGAGCCTGCCCCAAAGGGGACAGCAAAGGGAGGTGTATGGCCTAGACAGTCCATCCACGCACTCTGGGACCCAGGCTGCTGGTGTACAGAGAGCCAGCCTGAGAGCAAGGCTGGCTCAGCCAGAGAAGACCCCACTCTGATGGCATGGCCCTACAGGAAACCACAAGCCATCCTGCTTTTCAGAATGGAAGCCAACAAATACCTGGTTTTCTTTTCTTAAACCAGACCTAGGTGTGTTTCTGTCACTTACAACCCACAAAGTCCTGACACAGACACTGCTCTGAAGGCTCCATCGCAGAAGCCTTCCCAGGGCCTCCCACTGACATTCCGGCAGCAACCACGTTCAGTCAGCAGAGCCTAGGGCAGCGCCCTACATGCATCCTTCGGTCAACTAACTCAGCCAACTCCAACAAAAGGCCTATACTGTCAGCCCAGTACCGGGCCAAGGGACAGAAATGGAGACAACAAGGGCACTGGGACCCCAGATCTCCCCAAGCACCATGGCTTGGGCCCTGTGCTGCCCTTGGGGTGCCCTGATGGGACAACCCTTCACACATGGAGCTGCCACCCCATCTGATACCTCCCCCATTCACCTGCAGCTGGCGCCCCATCGCAGCAGCATTACACAGGAGGCTGAGACTCCCAGGGGAAGGACACAAAGAGTGTGGGGACTGGGGAGTGAGGACCATCTCCCCCAAAATTCCCATTCCACACAGAAGTTAAGCACCAGAGCTAAGCGTGCTTGGAAAGAACAGGAGCTTATACCCACCCCAGAGGGGGCGAGGGAGACATTTATTTTTACTGCAAGGAGAGAAGCTTTCTTAGGGAAAAGCTGCTCCCTAGGTCAGGGAAAAGCCAGGCAGCTGAAGCCAGCATGAGTGACGACAGGCTTCCAGGCTCACGCTTCACTCTTCCCCTCCCCAGCCCTGGTGGGGACCTCACACCCTGGCACCTTTGGGCCCTTCTGACACAGTGAAGCCTGCCGGACAGGTCTTTGCAAACGCCAGGCCAGATGGACATCAGGAAATAAGAAAAAAACAAAGGGCAGAGGAAGAAAAGGACATGGCTCTGACTGAAATAAATGGAACCCTACAAGGGGGCCGGTGGGGAAAACTAGCAAAGAAACCACTCCAACTGCGAGGAGTTCAGTAAGTGCTGCCCTAGAAAGACGTCCACTATATGAATCAATAAAAATATAAAAATTACATATGTGTTGGGGCAGGTAGGAAAATGTCCATACCTTACCTCTTCATTTTGCTGTGAAACCTAAAATTACTCTTTAAAAAAAAGTCTAAAAAACAATTTTAAATTAAATTATAAAGCAAATTGTAGCCAAAGAAAATGAAAACAGGCATTCACACAAAAACTTGTATAGAAAACAGCACCATTATTCAAAACAGCCAGTAGATGAAAAAAGACATGACACCAAGGGAAAGCAGTCAGGTAGAAAAGGCCAAACAGCATATGATTCTGTTTACACGAAATGTCCCTCACAGGCAAATCCAGAGACACAGAATGCAGGTGAGTGTCTGACGGGGCTACGGGGGGAGGAACGGGTTAAACAGGCATGAGGCGTCCTCCTATGAGAAGGATGGAGACTAGACTCTAAGACGGGATTGGTGGTGGTTGTGACTTGGATTTACTAAAGTCCCTGAATAGAACAGACAAGTTTTAGAGTATATAAATGATAAGTTGATAAACTGGTAAAAAAAACAATGAAACAAAATAACTCAGAAGTGTACATGGTGTCGATACACGGCACAGTCTACTCCTCAGCACCCGCGGGGGACCAGGTCCGGGGCCTCTTCGGACACTGAAGCCCTCGGATGCGCACGTCCATCACACAAAGCGGTGTTCGCACACACCTGCACACGTCCTCCTGCACACTGCCGACCATCTCTAGGTCACTTCCAGTAGCCAATGCAACATAAACGCTATATAAATAGTTGTCATTCTGTATTGTTTAGGGAGCAATGACAAAAAAATAAAGCCTGTACATGTTCAGACATGTACACCCCATCGCAGGCCTAACTACATAGCACACATCAGCAATGTGACATTTTTTTGAAAATATTTTTCAAAATTGGGACAACTGTAATTGCATAATCAATAAAACAAAATTAAAAAATAAAAATATTTTTCATCTGTGTTGAATCTGTGAATGAGGAACCCATGGATACAAAAGGCCAACGATACATGAATTATGTGTTACATGACTCTCTTCCTTATACCACAACCCTCTGCAGAAATAACCTCTGTCTTCAGCTTGATGAATATCTTTTCTGGTTTTTCCTTAAGGTTCTATACACACACATCGTAACTGCGGAAATGGTTTTGTGCATTTTTGTGTTTGCCACATACGTGAGATTATGCTGCATGTGTTTGCAAACTGCTCTTCTCCAAGCCCAGAAGGGGCTTTCCACGTCAGTATGTACAGTACACAAAGATGTCTTTCACGCGCTTTAAAGCTGCATGGCATCCCATAATAGATGTGAAACAGGGTGCCCACATTATATACATGGGTGGTTCCCGTACCATCAATGATGGACGTGTAGGTTGTTTCCAATGTTTACTATTACAGACAGAGCTGCTGCAATGAAAGCCCTTCACATCCCATAAATTACTGTCCCTAGCTATGGAACCACTAGGTGGAAGGGACCCTGCCACGCTGCAGTCTCGTGGTCCTGAGACTGTACCTGCACCAAAGCTGGGCACCAGGGCCTCGCTGCTGCCATCTCACCTCAGTCATCCAGTCCAGTCAACACCTGGACCGAACCGCATTCCGCAGTACGGCACATGCGCAAATGAGCACACACCCCTTGGTCGGCAGCCACTCCTGCAGCTTATCAACCATGTGAAGAATCTGAGCAAACAGACCCCACTGTGCTTGCCCCCCACAAAGAGGAGGAAACTCAGGCAAGGGGCTAGGGGGAAGAGGGGTCCAGCCAAGAGGTTACCTCATCATCCTTCCACTCTGAGAAGTCGATCTTGAAGGAGGGCAGGGAGAACTGCTGGCTCACCCCTCTCTTATAGTGGACGGTCTCAGACTGCAGGGCAGGGCTTTTGGGGCTGTACCTGAAGGGGCGGCCAAGAGAAAGGATGGTGAGACTCTGTCAGGAGCACATGCTCTGCTGTATCCCAACCTTGGGGCAATCCCCACTATCGTAGGACCACTGAGGCAGGGGCTGGCAGGCGCTGGTCTTTTGGGCACCTGGTAGAAACCTGACTTGCAGGTCCCACCCTCCAAGTCCCAGCCCTTCTCTGGGGGGCAGGAAGCCAGCCTCTCACACCCCGAGAACCTCCAAGGCCTCATTCTGCTCACCACCAGCTCTGCCTAGGTCCAGCCTGGTTTTATGAGTCTTCCAGAGCCCACACCTACCAGATAACCCAGCTACCTTTAAGATATGGCTTTTTACGGTTTGTTGACTTTTCTGAACAAACATGGCACAAAAATGTACACAGTACCAAGTGCCCTCTCCACCACCCCTGCACCCTCGTGTTTGCTCCCAGCCACCTGCTGCTTCTCCACCCAGCCACAACCCAAGTTTCATGCCTAGGAGAGCTGAGGCACATTTACACCTGTATGCACGAGTGTCTCTCTTTCATATTCCAAGAGCAGCCACCTACATTCTGCTCCTTTATTACTCAGGCACCCAAGCTGTCCCACAGCCACTGCATGTAGAGATGCCGTGTCCTCTGAACGCCGCACTGGTCCCACAGCAGTCTGACTCTGACTCAGTCAGGCCCCTTTGGTGGACACCAGGTGGTCTCCAGTATCTTTGCTTTTCCAAACGCTTCCAGGACCCTCTTCTGCATACCTCTAGCCACACATGCAAGTACATCCCCAAAATGAATGCCCAGAAAAGGAACAGCTGGATAAAAGAGTACATACATTTCCAATTCTAACAAGCTTGGACATCTCCCCACTTGGGAATCCAACACACAACTCTTGCCCTCCCCCGTCCACCCCACCCCACACTTGCTGTCCCTTGGGCTTCCGTCTGTCTCTCTCTAGGACAAAGGGTATTCTCAAGGGCCTTGGCATGTCTGGCCCAAGAAACTGGCACTGTGTGTTGCTCGTGTGCAAAAAGACTCAAAGCCACAGCTTTCAACCACTACTCCATCCTCAGGTCAAATCTGGCCTCCAAGTGGTTCTCTCCCACAGGACAGAGATGGGGCATTTCTGCCCATCTCACCCGGGGCTGGCCCCACAGACTGGAGGCAGGCCTGTACTTCCGTAGTTGTGTCAAAGTTGCCAGATTTCAAACTTTTGGGGCCCAAATGACCCTCATTTCAAATAAAGCCTCTGAAAGTTTAAATATATAATTCAGACAAATGCACAGCTACTGGGGCCCTGCCCTGCCACCTTGGGCCTACCATGCACCACAGGGACTCACACAGCCATCCCATTTAGAAATTCCTCCACCGCCTGGCAGTAGATAGTGATGGCCACCCGGGCATCAGCATCGAAGGTGAACTCCAGGCTGTACAGGACATGGGGCTTCTCGCTGTCCTCAGTGGGGCTGTCGGCACCATCTTTGTACCTGCCAGGGAGCCAGAGGAACAGGCAGTAAGTCAGGGGGCATGCCCACCTTGCACAGTGCACCCCATACCCTGAGGGGCCCCTGAGTTGGCTGCCTGGCTGCATCACACCCTTCTAGAAACATGCAAGCCCACTCCCTGTTTGGACAGTAAGGCTCAATAATGCAGGGTTCTCCTTCCCTTGTCTCCTACCCCAGAAAAGGAGACAAATTCTCTTGGTCTAGAGACAGCCCCAGAAGCCTCAGGTCTTTCAAGCTTAAAGTGGTTTCTCAACTGTGACAGTCAGACCTGCATCATTCCTGATTGTGGGGGCATCCTGTGCACTGTGGGGCACCTAGCAACCTCCCTGGTGTCTGCCTGCTAGATACCAGGGACACCACCACCTCCAGCTGTGACAGCCAAAAAAGCCTCCAGACATAGCCCAACATCACCGGGGTACAAGTCACCAGTTGAGAGCCACTACTTTATAAAGAATGCCGTGGGGTCAAGGATTACCTTACGAGCCGGAGTGAGTCTTTTCGGATGTTCACCAGGCTCCTCAGCGTCTTCACCGGCTCATGGGGGGCAGGGGTGACATAAGGAAACTAGGAGGGAAAAACCCAATGCAATCCCAGATGACTCCCCCACATGGCAGACGGCAGAAAACAGGGATCATCCAAGCCCTGCCCCCGCTGGGTGCTCCAGGGCCCTCACGCCAACCACTGGATGACATTATCACCATTCACATCAAAGTAAACTGCAGGCAACATGGCCAGCACAAGGCAGAGCTGGAACCAGAATACCCTGAAGGATTCCGGTCATGTGGCCACGGTCCCTCTATTCTAGGAAGGACTCTCGGTGAATGGGACCTGGCCTGAGGGATCCAGGGGGGGCAATTAAGGTTGGGGCTCTCAAGCCTCATTCCCAAAAGTGGGACTCCCCGTCCCACCACTGCCCCGAGCCAAGCAACCTTTGCATTCAAGGTCGATGGTCAATAAAGATACAGGGAGAGTCATGTGCACAAGCATGTGCACATACACAAAGTGCTGTAAAACTGGCGGCATCTGGAAAACGTGGATGCATCAATGTCAGTTCCTGCTCATGAGAATACACTGGGGTTTTACATGGCACCATCACCAGGGAAAACTGGGTAAAGGGCTCACGGGATCTCTCTGTGTTCTTTCTTTCCTTTTTTTAAAAGATTTTATTTATTTATTTTTAGAAAGAGGGGAAGGCAGGGAGAAAGAGAGGAAGAGAAACATCAATGTGTGGTTGTCTCTCACATGCCCCCTACTGGGGACCTGGCCTACAACCTAGGCTTGTGCCCTGACTGGGAATCAAACCAGCGACCCTGTGGATGCAGGCTGGCGCTCAATCCACTGAGCCACACCAGCCAGGGCTCTTTGTATTATTTCTTACAACTGCAGGTGAATCTATGGTGGTCATGAAGTTAAAAAAAAACAAACAAACAGATTTACAGGAGGCCTGTATAAGCCAGGCCCTTGGGTCAAAGCTGAGGCTTCAAAGATGTGGACAGCAAGGTTCTGTTCTCATTCTCATGGACTTGGGAGGGTGGTGGAGGCCAGCACTCTGGGCCCTAGTCTCTAGCCTCTCTCATCCATGAGGATCAAGATTCAGTGTCAACCAGTTGCTCTATGGCTAAAACAGCCTAGAGAACCCTCCCTGGTCTGGGGGACCTCACACCCTAAACCAGAGAAACCCGAGGACTCAACAGCCTCAGGGGACGGGGCCCAGTGCCTCCTGAGAGAGAGGGCCTCCAGCCTGGCCCCTCACTCACACTGGGGACCTAATACCCACTCAGTGCCCCCGCCCCCCCACCCTCCAGGGGCCCTCTCCTGTCCCTCTCTCTCTTTTCAGTCTCCATTTGTCAATTGTCCTCTTCTTTACTGTCTGTATGCCCTGCTAGGGAGCAGGCAGGGTCTGTCCTCTGTTCTCTGGAAGGGCCCCAGGAACACAGTAAGTGCCAAATGCACACTGAACAAATGGAATGCAACACATGAACATGTGCTTCTCTGGTGACTGATAAAAACGCTCGTAAAAATTGTTCACCAGCCACTTGCATTTCTCCTTTGGATCCTGTCTCTTGCCCACTGTTCCATGGAACATGGATGTTCTTTTTTTTCTTTTCAAAGAAAGTTGTCCAAGAGGCCTGGGATCAAAGCCATAACCTTCCAAAATCCCAGAGCATGGACACACCAGGTTCAATAGCAGGTGCTCTGTCCCCAGTGACCCACCTTGGTCCCCCCACCTCTAAGGGGGCACCACCAGGACATGCTGCGTGCACACGTCATGTGCACACATCTGGCTGGCAGCTCTGCCTGGTTTGGGGTAACTCTGCCCACCTGTCCTTACAGCTGGGACATGGATGGTTGAAGGCCAAGGTCTCGTCACCCCCACTGCCCACACACCCAGCCCTATTAGGCCCACCTGGACTGGGCGATTGCCCAGGAAGTTCAGATCCATGTTTTCTCCAAAGAGGTAACCTTCAGGGTGGGGGGTGTCAAATTTCTCACCTCCCATGAAAAAGTGTGAAGCGAAGTAGTTTCCTGGTTAAAAAATAAAACAAAACAAACAAACAAAAAACACAGCTGTAGATTAAGGTTTACCACAATCCAGTGGGAGCAGCAGACGGCTGAAGAAGTTCAACCCTGAGAAAAGTACCCGGAGAGAAGCCATCACGGGCGGGCCTCCCACTTGCACTGCAGGCCTCAGCCCTTCCCACCTCTGCACCCACCCACCCCAACACCCTCCCCTCCCCAGCATCTCTCCCAGCTGCTCAGGCACTCATCTAGCACTCAACTCCAACATCACTTTCTTCTCTAGCAGGTTGAGTTGTTTCCCACAAGGATATGTTCCAGTCCTAACCCCTGGTAAACGTGCATGTGACCTTATTCAAAAACAGAGTCTTTACAAATGTAAACAAGAGAAGGTCAGATTACCGTGAGGTGCACCCTAAATCTGGTTACCAGTCTTCCTAAGAGAAAGTGGGAGATTTGGACAGAGGCACACAGAGAGAGGAGGAGGAAGTGTGAACATGGAGGCAGAGATTGCAGTGATGTGGTTACAAGCCAAGGAATGCCCAGAGCCATCAGAATCTGGGAGACGCAAGGAAGGATCCTCCTCAGAGCCTTCAGAAGGAACCGACCCTGTTAACACCTTGGTTTTGGACTTCCGGTATCTATAACTATCGGAACAAAGTCTGTTTGTTGTTTTAAACCACCCAGTTTGTGGTGTTTATGATAAGACTAGCAGACTAATACACATTCCCTGACCCAAGACTAAGTCAGCTCCCCCCAGCCCAAATCCAAGCTCCGAGTCTGAGTTATTATTTCATTCATATCTCACTCCCGCCGCACCCCACCCTGAGAGTCCTGAAGCTGGAACTCATCTGGAGAGAAGGCTCAGGAAAAGGCAGAATCTAGTACAGAAGCCAGGCTGTCCCTGCAAGGCCTTCCAGGTGGGAGACACGTCCCTGGCCTTGAGGCTCCTGCTCCAACCTCATCCCCACGTCATATCCTGGGACATTCAAGGTCCAACCATGTTATGTCCCACTAGTTCCCAGAGTTTCCCCTCCATAGGCAAACTGTAGATTCATCCTACACTGAACAGGGCTGACCTGTGTACCCAGCAGGATACTGTGGAAAAGGTGAAGTGGGACTCCCCAGGCTCTAGAAGAAGCCAGTCTCCACGTTGTAAGGACACTCAACCTGACCTATGGAGAGGTCCACTTGGCAAGGAACCAACACCTCCAGCCACCAGCCAGCAACAACTTGCAGCCGCATAAGAAAAGCAGATCCTGCAGCCCGGCACACAGCTTGACTGCAGCCTCATGGGAGACCCTGAGCCAAAACTACCAGCTAAGTCACTCCCAAACTCCAGACCCACAGAAACTGTGAGATAATAGCATTTATTGTTATAAACAGCTAAATTTTCTATTTGTTACTCAGTAAGAAATAACTGACACAAGGGACTTTACTCCTTTTTCCTCTTGGGCTCCTGATCCTAACATGTTTCTATGGCCACCAGCCATAGAAGCCACCAACATCTCCTGCGCCTCAATTACTGTAATCCACCCCACCAGTCTCCCCACTCTCACCTAGCCCCAAAGTCTATTCCCACACTCCACCGCTCAGAAACTTCTGATGACCTCCTGACCACACTACAGTAACTTCTAAATTCCTCCTCAGGGACTGTAAGGCCCTATACAATGCAGACCTACCAACCCCATTCATACCCCAGGGCCTTTGCACTTGCTCCTTCATCTGCTTATGAAGTTCTTCCCCAGGAGTTCTCTTCCTTGACCCTTTCCCTCACCTTTCCTTCCCAGCAAGGCCTTTCTGATCATTCCATTTCAAATGTACAACTTCTACTCCTTCATCTTGCTTGCTGACCAACCTCCCCCATTCCCCTTCTCTGCTTTATTCTCTTCCAGAATACTTTTCACAGGAGGCCCCCACATCTTGCTGCAGTTTATTTTTTAACAAAATTTTTCAAGACTTTATTTGTTTTTAGAGGGGAAGGGAAGGAGAATGAGTGGGAGGGAAACATCAATGTGTGGTTGCCTCTCACATGCCCCCCACCCCAGGCATGTGCCCCAAGTAGGAATCAAACCAGTGACCCTTTGGTTTGCAGGCCAGCACTCAATCCACTGAGCCACACCAGCCAGGGCTTGGTGTGGTTTTAAGTTTTAATAACTTCAGAGGTGTAAATGCTACAAAATAAAACCTCTAGATTAACAGGCAATGGATGAGTATTACTTTTTTTTTTACTTTAGCTCTATTTTATACATTTTTACAACTAACCGGTATTACTTTAAAACAGGAAAGTTATTTTTAGAAGACTGAAGACAAGGGACCAGGATGTGTGTAACAACAGTGGCTGTAATATCATAAAACGGACCATGTTCTGGAAAAACCACTGAACTATGTATTTTAAAAGGGTGACTTTAACAGTGTGTGAACTTTAGCTCAGTAAAGCTGTTACTAGGAACTGAAGGGACATGACCAAGTTGTTACCTTGTAAATAATCAACAACTTTGGGGGTATTAGATCTGTATGTGATTTTCATATTTGTTGGCAAATAAGTTGGAATTTGAAGCTACTGCTCTATCACACCCATGTTCATTCCCATCTACTGATTTATGTGAACACAGTTCTTCAACCTGAAATGAAAAACGGAACTGGAACCGACACTGACCTGTCTCATTCCAGCAACAGGTTATGTTCAACTGTGACCACATGAACTCACTGGTGGCAAGTGGGAGGGGTGCAGGGATGTAACCCATCTATTTAGGAGATGTGTGTCCAGTGCTTTCTAGCATTTATGTTTGTTATTTATAAAAATTGTAATATTTGTGTTGTTTTCGTCAATTGAATATTTGTAATACCCACTCAAAACCAGAGAAAAATTCTCATTTCAATTTATGTACACATTTTGGTTGCAGAGACATACAATATGGTGATCGAGAAAAGACTTTCAAGCATAAAAAGTTGCAACCACCCTAACATTCCTCAACAAGGAAATGGACAAACAGTGATAAGATAAGTCACTGTGGCAATGACACGATGGGACCACAAAGCAAACAGGACTCACACAGACGAGTTTTGAAAACACCTCATAAAGCATCCCCAGAGCTCAGACATGGAACACCTATGCACAGGGGAGCACGAGCCAGACACGGTAAGGAAGTGCCAGGTCCAAGGAGCAGCAGGAGAAACATGAAAGAAAGAGACAACATGGGGAATGTTAACAGTGAATCCTGAATGGAGGGTGTTCACCATGTCACTCTCTATCCTTTCCTGTTTTTGAATTGCTCACATTTTTTAAAAAGGAACTTTAGGAGGACTGTATGCATCAAATGGAACTGGTAACAGTTCCCTAAATGTGCATGTGTGCATGCGTATGTGTGTGTGTGTGTGTGTACTGTGCACAGTGTACATATGTGGGTATACAGGTGTACTTGTGTTGTGCTTATGGGCAAATGTTTGCGTGCATGTGTTGTATGCACAGTGTCTGTGTGTGTGCAGTTTGGGACCAACAAGAGCAGGCAGAGCTATGAAGAGGGAGAAAGGGAAAAAAGAAGAGGTGACTGAGGAGAGAAACAGAAGGAAGACACAAAGGTGAAAATGAGAACAGAAGCCACCACCACACCACAGGCTCTTCCTCTATGCCAAGGCAATGCCCCAGCCCAATTTTCCCACGGAACTCATCAAGGTGGGGCAGATCCTGCCCCCACTTTCCATGGGGGAAATTAGGCTCAGAGGTCACCAGGCTGGTGATGGTGGAGCTGGGCTCAAACCTGCTGACTCCAAGCTCATCGTGGGTCTCAGCCCCACACTGGGCGCCTCCCCTCCCGCAGCACTAGGACAGCGATGGCAATCAGTCGCTGTGTGGTGTCATCTCTGGTCACAAAGGGTGGCTGTTCACACACAATGATCTGCATGAAAGGGCTTCCTGGGACCAGAAAATCCTTCTGTGGCCACACTTGCAGGGCCTGCCAGAGGCCATGATTTCAGGCCAGCAATGAGGCACTCTCCGGGATGCCACAGCCTCAGAGCCTCAACACAGCCATCCTCAAAATGACAGCTAAAACAAATTCATGCCCTTGTCCCCTGCTTCTTGTCACCAGTTAAGGGGCATGGGAGCTCAGATGGTTCATTTCCTCTCTGCCCAAGGGATTCTGACTCTGCCCTACTTACTGGGGTCCAGGTGACCCGGAGGACAAGAGGTAAACAACCACCAAAACAGACTGAGCGCCTTCCCAGAAGGCTACCAGCATTCCCATACATGGGCCCCATTTGCCTTTAGACACCAGGTGCAGGAGAACACACGTTTTATCACCTTCTAGAGATGACAAAAATCAAAGCCACACCTTGGCTGGTGTGACTCAGTGGTTTGAGCGCCAGCCTGTGAACCACAGGGTCTCGGGTTCGATTCCCAGTCAGGGCACATGCCTGGGTTGTGGGCAGGTCCCCAGTAGGGAACAAGCAAGAGGCAACCACACTCCGATGTTTCTCCCCCTCTCTTTCTCTTTCCCTTCCCCTCTGTCTAAAAATAAGGAAAATCAAAGCCACAAGGCCACCAGCTAGTGGCTGCCTCAGTAATGTCTGGTGGAGGTGGGCACATGCTGTCCCTTCAGGCCACAGAGCAAGCCAAGAAGACTTCTGGGTTTCCCTTTGTTTGTCCGTTCCATTGCAAATGTGTGTGTAGTACACATGTGTGTGGTGGCCATCACTCACCACAGAAAAATGAAGACATTTAAATTACCTAAATGAACTGACCCTGCTGAGGGAGGCACCAGGATGTGCAAAGATCTCCAGGGAATCAAAGTGAAAAGGCCAAGCACAGGTCCGCATGCAGAGCACAGATGGATTCCACTAGTTGAAGGAGTAGCGAAGGACCCACACCACACTGCCCGCAGGAACAAGGGGGTGGGCAGAGGGCTGGGAAGAATAAAGCGAGACTTTCACATTTCCTCCAAAAACGTCTGCATTGCCTGAATCCTTCTTTGCTACATAGATATTTTTTAAAAATACAACTTCATCAA